AAGTTAATCTAGGCGAAGGAACAAAATGTTTGCACGCTTTGTTCGTTAGTATAAATAGACTGCAGGTAAGAAGCGGGATGAAAGTTTGATTAGTCTTCTTTTTTTTCCTTTTTTTTCAATGCAGGAAATCAGGTGTATGAGAGAATCGGGGCTTGCAGCATTTTTCTTTCTGAGTCATGCATATGGGATGCTTATTAGAACCGGCATGTGTTGAAATTCGGAAAATATGGTTTGCAGAGGTACTCAACTACATGTTTTCTGTTTGTTTTGCAATTACCATAACCCGAACGCACCCAATTTAATGTCTGCTTATGCGAAATACCAGTTCCACTGCGGTGTTCACAGGACGCCATTGCTTGCTATGTCACGCGTGACCATACAATTTATGTGTGCCTATTTATTGTTCGTGTATACTACAACTTAGTTTCCCTCTTTTTTTTTGTAGTTGCCACCCGTCCTAAATTGCCGGTACAAATGTGACAACCAAGAACACGATCAACGGTATGAAATGGAGAAAGATGGAACACCGTGCCATTTGCACATGAGGGTAAGCTATAAGTGCTAATTCAGCAGTGAAAAACATATTTGTTGGGGTAGCTTGCATACACCATAAGGTCCCCCCATCCCGCCCTAACAAGTTGTCGTCTCCAACTTCTTACAACCTCTTCTTAATAGATTTTCTTCATTCACAGCTGCTACTGAGACTGCACAGCACAATTGTCTTTCACAGCTGAGGGAATTGGTTGCGTTCGAAATTACAAGCCCATAAATAACCTCCCAGATCGACTTCTAAACAGAAAAACCCACAGCTTTCAACCTAGAAAAAAAAAAACTTCCAGCGTCTTTTATACTTTCGCCTAAGACGACCCCAAGGTGAAAGTTGACTTCTTTTCGTTCTAATTTGATGTATGGACCATCCCCTCCCTCTTCGAAGAGTTTTCTGCACTTAGTTTTGCAGTACATTAAAAATCGATAACATTGCGAGCTTTCTGCTTCACACTCGATTTTTACACTACCTCTGTCATGAGCCTACGTTTGTCCAAGCGACGTTTTTGTACAACAACGCCCCCATGTGACCTCGTGACAACCTCACAAGTTTGGTTATTGTGATGTCACGTTGGTGTCACAAGGCGACGTAATGACGTGGTGGTCATTTGTCGCATCACTCGTGTTGACACGGTGCCACGCAGCACCAACTTTCAGTTTTCACGATTGATAAGGCATGCAAGTCTTTCGTTTCGTCGAATATAAAGTGTTGTGTGCAGCATAACATCGGAGACAGCTCTGATATTTCCCAATCTGACAGTTCGTAAATATTATACATGTGTGCAGCATAACGACGCAGTCATCTCTGCTGTTTTTTCACTCGACAGTGCCTTTTCAGCTGTCAATAATAGTAATATTAAGCTACCCTGCTTTTAATTGACCTTAATAACAAGCAGCAAATTTCGAATGAGTTAGCTTCCTATGTATGAATGTTTTTCATATGACTCTTACAAAAGGATCGTGCAAAAAGATGGTTTGAAAAAGCTTTACTCACTTTTTTGCAGGTGAAGACCTTAATCGGCGTCTGCCTGAATGGACGGTGCCAGCAAGCTAGGAATAAATGACCATATACATTTTAATAATGAAAACTCTTTATCGTAACATATTTGCTCTTTGGTGAATTTGTGGCTTATGTATGGCGTACTACTGATCATGAATAGGCCGAAGTTTGATGGCAGGCCTTGGTGGCAGCAGCTGTATGAAGCCATGGTTTAATTTTGATCTCGCAATGAAATTAGGTGAGCAATAAATGACCTAACAAACTTGCCAATAAACCCGAGTTCACCACTATTATGTCCCTCATGCTCATTGTGCACTTTGGCACGATTGGCAAAAGTGAACCCCGAGTTTCCGGCTGATAAGTTTCCAGCGCAAGACAAATCAATCCTAATAGTTCTTCAATCACTGTTACACACTTCGAGTGTTCATCGGCAGGCTAAAGTCATCACACGCAGATGCCGTACAATAGGTGTACTAAATGTTCTACGTCAAGTGCTTACAAGCCTTTAGTAGGCACCATGACTAGAGAATCTACAGTAGAACGTGATATGCCTATTTTATGTTCGCTTCATTCTCTCTATGTTTTCATCCCTTAATCCCCTTCCTCTACCGTGGGATAGCCCACCCGACGCGTGTTCTGTTGGCCTTTCTGCCTTTCCTTCCTCTTTCTCCTACTCCTCGTTGTGCACTTTCTCGAAGCAACCATAACACTATCGTAGGTTTAACATCCCAAAACCACAATATGATAATGAGAGACGCTGTAGTAGAAGGCTTTGGAAATTTCTACCACCCGGGGCTGTTTTACATGAACCGAAATCAAAGTACACGGACCACAAACATCTTCACCTCCATCGAGAATGCGACACCGCAGCCTTCATGAAAGATTCAGTCACCTTTATTTGGGGTAATTTCACTACCCAAATAATATTGGCACCCTATGTTCAACAAAAAAAAAATCCTGAAGCAGTCATTTGAACCGAGATATGCACACCGCAGATGTTTGTTTATATATCGCAGGCTGAAATCACACTCGTGAATATTATGCCCTATCCTTCCATTTCAAGACAACAAAAGCAATTATTATAGAAAGGAATTGTTCCTAATAAACAAGTGTTGTGGGGTACGCTGTGCTTTTACACTTGCCTAATGGTATATGAAGAACGATGTGCTGAAACAATGGCTGAACGTGTGCTTTATTCTGTTATGAAGCTATGCGACAAGATACAAAGTAAACACGTGGTATACTATATACTTTAACGCGCAATACATAACACCCTGTCATTTGGCAGCAAAAAAAACTTTTATTTGCTTTTTTGCAGGTCAGTCGTATATTTTTGGCTGCCTCGGAAAATCCTAGGAATAGAGCTTGAAGAGGGTGTAGGTTTCTTTCATGTGTGCAACAGGACGTTTCTCTTGTATTCATCATGACATATTGGAGAGATCGCTTCTTCTGGGAAATGTTTCGTGCACACATGGTCAGTAAGATCCAAACCTCTGCTATCAGAATCGCCCATCGCTACTTATATAAGCGCTCTGGTTCACGTGGAGGCTTGGAAAGCGACTCATGCTCCGTACAAGATCTATAACGTGACCTGTGATTCACAACAAAACAGTGTTTGGCCATTTCGAGGTGCAGCCGGGGACAAGGTCACTTACGCGTATTCGAAGTCATATGCATGCAGCGTCAAGCTATACGTGAACTGAATCACAAACCATGAATCAGCACAAACAAATGCACTGACAGGGCTCACAGACGCAAGGCAACGTGTTTATGAACCACAGGAGAACATGCACACAGATCTTTCAAGAAAACCTTCCTTCGAGAACGAATAACACAGTGAGTGCCGCGCGAGCCCCTGTTTTCTCATACTGCAGCGCCATCTCAATTCGCAGGGCGAAAACCACTCGTGGCTCAAGGCCATCGGTGAACACCATCTTCCCATTCCCTCTCCTTAAGCCAGGCGGCCAGTGTAAGCACCTACCTCATTTTACACCGTGTCCAGAACTACCCATTGATCATCGTATAAATCACGGGGTTGTTTTCAAGCATTTTCAATAATTACCTAATTTAAGAAAGATAACAATCTCAATAAGTGAAACAAATCCGTGAAACTATATCTCAGCACGAACGCACCTATATGGCAAGAAATCTTGCAAGCTTTTGTATTGTTGCACCTGTTCTATGAAGCGAATTGTAATAAAGGCCGCGGGCCACCCGCCTTGTGCTTAGACAGACCTGGACCAAGGTCAGTCTTCCATTCTTCACGATTAAAATCTTTCTTTTGATGGATGTGTGCCAAAAATCACTGCCTAAGAAAACCTGGCGCACAATATCAGCTTGACCCATTTATTCCCCCAACAAGAGTACGATTCTTTGACGCCCATACGTTTAAAACGTGGTGGTTTAGCCTTTGTGTTCCCTGATCCCTTTATATTCTGACAGCCATTACCAGAGAAACACGTCAGGTACACCTGATGGAGGAACCAGCCAATGATACACGCGCAGTCGCATTAGAAGCAGAAAACCTTTGCTTCTTGTGGTAACCGTATTTATTCGTCCATACGCTAGAGCGTGTAACAAAACGTGCAAGCCAGTGGATACTTGGCGAAGAGTATTTAGCCAACGTCTTTGCCTTGGAAACATCGACGCAATGTTTTTTGACATGATTATATATGGAAGCTTGGCCATTTTAGCATCAGGTACGTTGTAAAGATACTTGTGTTGGTATAGGAATGATTGTGAATCGAGGATAAATTATTTTGTATGACGGAACATAATTATTAAATAAGCATGAGCAAGGCATTATAAAAGACCCTTACTTTTCGGAAAGACTGGATTCATCCAGATTACATACTTCAATGAGTGAGAAATGCTGAAAGATATACCGTAATGTGGTTCATTTCCCCGAAATTTCGCCTGTAAGAAGATTTAATTCTTGCATAATAGCTACCACATTGCATTTACTACAGTGCTTTTTTCTCTGCCTGTTTACTTTATATTATTCTGCGCTCTCCCCCCCCCCCCCCCCAAGTTTAGGGTTGCGAACCAAGCCAAGCTTGGTTAACCTCCCTGCCTTTCCTCTCCGTTTCCTTCTCTTTTGAGACTTAGCGTATTTGGGCAACGCAAGTAACCTTAGGGTACGCAGTGTTCCCAACTAAGCTTGTGTTCCGTATTGTGAAGCGGTTTGCGCTTTGTTTTGCACTGACGTGCGTAGCCTATATTATATGCTAACACAAAAATAAGTCAAACCCGCTTTTTAACATGCCAGTGATATTACAGACATTACCTGTATATTTATATTGTCCATAGTACATGCAGTGCGAAGACATCAGCGCGAAGTCAGCAAGAGTCTTGCAAAATAACCAATAGACAGATTTGTAAAAGATAATATGAAATATGGAACCACCGTTTAAGCTTGGGCAATGATTTCGTACTTCTTTTTCTTGCTAGCTCAACTTGAGGTACTAGGACTCGCTCCACACCCAGTACCCACGCCACCACTTGGCCCACAGGTCACTCACTCACCGCCCTTACCACCACAACAAAAAGTACCACCTCCAAACAAAACGCCCCCCGTATCCTCGAAACCTCCTGCTCCCCCAACTTCAACTCCGGAATCTCCAATGCCTTCATCACCACCTGCAATACCAGTGCCACCGAAACTACCGCAAACGCCATCTAAAGCACCGAAGCCTCCTATGGACAGCAACCCGGATTGCTATGCAGTGAGGAATAATATGCCAGTAAGTATCACGAAGGATTACCAGCTTCAAGTGGATTTGGCTCGTACTCCTGTCATGTCCGAGGTGTGGTGACATCGTAGAAAATTTGTCCAATGTCTGGTGACATTTCAATTCTGAAATATGTTTTTACTATATACCTTAATTCGTTCATAACACAAAACGTGCAGGTCGGGTAACGGCCTCTCTGTATTATTTTGAAACACTCTACCGTATTGTTTATGAATGTTACAGTTTTTTGCATTGAACACAGCACCCGGTGTGCACATACAGTGTCTTTTTTATATATTACAAGTTTTTATATAAAAGTGCCAGAACAGCAAGGCTCCTGCCGCCTTCGCACATGAATTGTACATAATGGCGTAAGAAGCTTGCCGTAGCTAAAGTGACAGTGAGTGAACGAATTGAGAGAAGGCCAATTCATCGCCATTTTTATTGTTAACATGAGGGTCCCTATTTACATGCGAAGGTTGTAAGGCTTCACACTTTATTGTATGGTCTTTTTGAGAAATTAGTTAAATACGCACTTAAGGTGTAGTTAACCTCATTTGAATGTTGATATGGGCACTATAAGCTCGTCCAGAACGCTGAAAACGTGGCTGCTGTATTACTCAAGACGGGAACGTCCCGTGACAATGAAGTGACTACATTTGAAAATAGGCGCGTGGCAGCAGTATTTTGCCTTGAGGATGCAATGGTTTGCTATGTATATATGAGAAACTTACAGTCGCAGTGCTTTACCTGAAGTTATCTAGAAACGTGCGATACTTAAAATGTCTCCTATTGCATATTACAGAAAACAACCGTTGTATTTACCAACATTAAATGCTTCCATCCCTGTTAATAAATTCGAAAGTGTCTGTACTAAATCTCACAGCTCTCCCATAGTTTAGCACGAAGTACTCAAAATCATAAACAATTTTTCTATCAAATGGCAGTAATTGCGTCAGTACAGCTTACCGTTCTCCCAGAGTCGAGTACATAGTATTCTAAACCGTCGAACATTTGCTCTAAACACACAACATATGCAAAACACGGCGTTTTAGTAAATACTGGAATATTTTGTCACTCTCCTATAGCAGAGTACATTAACTACTCTAAATTGTTAAACACTTTTTTCTAAACAAACACAGTAATCCAGTGGTAGTGGTATGTAAGAACCGAAATCATAGCCTTTAGCTGGAAAGAAAAATAGATAAATGATTACAATATGGCGTACTTACATCTATAGTGCCTCAAATGGCAGGGTTTTCCTGTGGTTACATCTATCTTCGGGTTAATCTATCTTCGTTCTTTGCACTTTTACTTCTGTCGCCATACTATTAGGAAAACACGAGAACTTAAAATAGAAGCTAGTTATCTCGCACGACGCCCTAATTACGGCGTACAGCTGTAAAGTTCTCTTTCAAACTTCGTGGTGCACTTTTTTATGACATGATTAACTTTTCTCCCCATTTTAGTGAGATTTGGCATTGTTTTTTTTTCTTAATAAGAAAGTGCTTTATGCCGGGGTCCACGAATTCTTCACTTACGTATTTGCTTCACGGATATGACGTCGGAAAAATGCATGCGAATAGATGAGAGAAAAAAGAACGAGAAGAAAGCGTTCCATTGCCGTGAAGTGGACCTTTGGTTTCTTGGTCCAAGACGATAGGCACCCGGGGTTCTATCAAACACGCTATCGCTGCTGATGCACGAGACTCGACAAACGTATACCCTATATCTCACACATTCTTTCTCGTGTGGTGCTCTTGACTGGCGGGCAAGGCGGGGCAATATCACCGTCTGTGGGCTGTCAAGTAGCGCGTCATGACGCCAACAAACGCCGATAGGGAGCGATTTGGCGACAACGCCAGTTAAATGCGTCTCGACTGCCGAGCGAGGACGCTTGCCGCACCAGCATTACGTACGTAACAGCGAGAAATAGCCGTAGACGCAGCTGTGGTGTTTGCCTTTCGCTTCGTGTTAGCGCATGACAGCCCGTTGTCTGAGTTGTGTAGGCTCAAGATGCACCAATTGTGTTTTTTCGTCACCTATGCTGCATCGAGTGATAGCGACGATAACAAAACTGCTGCAATAAGCACCGTAGAAGGGCAGTAATGTAAGCTGGGGAATAGTCGTGTGCTGGTGAAGGGAGACAGAAACCAGCATGAAACTGTACGTAATCACGCGTTCACGGGTCAAGCTAAAAACTGCACTTCTGGAAGCGCCATGTATGGATGCGCACAGGCCTAGCTTACCTTGTAAGTTGTGAGTCCACACAATTCTGTTTCTCTCTTTAACACGACGCTTTGAGCCATATACCAAGTACCAGTATTCGTTGTGTTCTTGTTGATGCTATCTTTGCACGGGCGTCACTATACTCTCTCTCCGGCTATGTGTTAACTTCAACTAGCACAAAGGCTTACTTATGATCATAGGCGATAGCCGTGGCAATGAGGATGCGCCACTAGGCGCGAGCTTGGGTGCATCGACGTCAACGCTGTCATATATATCAAACACCAATAGACATTTTCAAGCTCTCATCTGTCAATGCACAAAAAACAGTTCACTTCAGTGAAAGCAAGTTTCACTTTCGCATTATATCGATTTGTATGACCGAGGGATTAGCCACATTTTAAAGCGCAGCGCTTAATCACCCGTTCCAGCGTTGAGCAGCAGTGCTGTTGGCGTAACTGATAGAGCGAATGCTGACGAAAGAGTGTGAATGAGCAGCAGTCAAGTTGTGGAAATTTATGCGGTAATTTCTAACGAATGTTGCAATACTGCGATGCTGAAAAGTCATAAACACGGTTGGCGAAGCTTAGTAATAATTGGTGAATTTTTCTCCTTTTTCCACAGAGACACCTGTTCAACAACTGTACGTTTATTTGTGAACAAGATGAAGAATTTACTTTGGGCAACCGCGAAACATGCTTTGTAAGTATAGATCGACTGCAATTCAGGTTTCACTTTTATTGCATTTTGCAATGTAATTTATTTTCAAGGAAATAACTCAATCAAAGTGCCTTAAAGTTATAGCATCAATGTTCTAGAAAATAATCATTACTTAACAACTAACGATGAATTGTAGCATCATTAAATGCTGGAAAACAGAGCACATGTTAGATGCCGCAACTGAGCAGCAAACAAAACAAAGAAACACTTGTTACCCTCTCATTATTAATAATTAGGTTGGTGTGTCACAGACGTAAGGCAGCATTGACAACTCACGGGGACCCCTGAAAATACTGTAGGCAAGGACACGTCCATAAACTTAGGAAAGATTATAATGGGGAGATGGCAGGGAGGTGAACCAGACAGCATTTTACCTGCCTACCTGTGAGCTGCTAGCAAATGTAAGCGGACATGTAGTCAAGAATGGGAATTGTTTGAGGGGCTTATTTACCTTATGCTATCGAAATCAACAGACAATTAAAGTAACGAAAGCATCAGTGAATTATTTTTGGTTTCTCAGCAGTATACCGTGAAAATGTCCGCTTATATCGCTACAAACTGAAACTTAAGAAATATTCACTCTTTCCGCCAGCGGGCTTTGAACCAACATTCTTCGAAGCACCCGTCTGGTGTTCTACCGATTGAGCCAGAACGGAGGGTGATTCCTTGTCCGCTTTTTTTTTGTAGGGTATCTAAGCGTTTTAAATACTCTGGAGTGTTGGCCAGCTCCATTTGCAGCACAGGCGACATGTACGGAACGTGTTTTTGCCAGAGGGCGTCAAGGCACACCTTATCTTCAAATGAGGTGGCGGTTGACCAACAAACTCCTGCATGCCACTAAAGGCATCAAGTTCGCCGGGATAAAGCCCGCGTTATAAAAGTAGAGAAGAGGAATTGTCCGAGAGGCTCATATTTTTGTATTATGCGAAACTAATGAAACGGAGAAACCATCAAACCGAGGAAAGCTTAGGCGGATCATTATTTGTGCGTTCTTGACTGTAGTATTTAGCTTCTCGCTTTATTCGGAAAGCATAAAAATTAACGAAAATTCACTTTTTGGTCAGCGGGATGTAAACCCATAGATGTCGCACACATTCGTAACATACAAGGAAGTGGCTGGAGGAGCGGCCACTGATGTAGCTCAACTGGTACAGCATCGGAAGCGTAATTCGAAAGCTACAGGTTCCGAAGTCACTGAAAGAAAGGGCGATTTTTCGTGCACTTACAATTTCCTTCAGTTGAAGCACCAATTTTTACACTACAGTTAAGACATCACCAAGAATGTCCCTTGTGTTCTCCGTCGCCTAATTGTTGGCCATGTTCGTTAGTGGTGTATGAGATATCTAGGCATATGCACATGGAAAGTTTCCTTGTGGGCATGTATTTGGTAATGCTAGTTAAGTATCTTGTGTTGCCTCAGAAATTTTTTGAACGTGTCAGTAATAAGCACTATTCAAACGACAAAACATATTTGCCACATAGATCAATGGCTTTTCATAACTAATCATTACTAATTTTATTTTTTCTTGTTTTTTGGATGTGTGAGGCTCAAGACCCAATAGAAGAGATGCCTGTCAGAAATGGTGTAAGAACTGTCACTGGAGACGAGGGTGTCTGTATAGATGGAAAGTGTGTCATACCTGGGAGTGGAACACCACCGAAAAACCGTAAGGACATTTCTTAAGAAATACGGATAACCAGGATTGCTTGAAGTTTGTGTAATCATTTATGTATTTTATTTAAAGTACCACTAGTCCTTTGGGGCTGTTATCGAGTTGGCAATACAGTTGCTATATAACTTATGAAGCAACTTGCTGAAAAAATCTCAGCTCAATTAAATTCCACGAACATGTCTCAGTGTTATCGAATTCAGAAATAGTACGTAGCAAAGATAAAGCATAATCTATCAGCTTTTGTGGTATGAGATAGTACTGTGGGTATTGATACGTGGGAGCAGTTGTCCTAGAGAGCGCCATTAATTAGAAACACAAGGGATGATCATATCACAGTGCGAAGTTGAGCAAGACACAAGAGTATGTGCACATGTTTAAGTTCAAATTCTAATCCTAAATTCAAAAGTTTTTCATTTCGATGTACAGCGAATACTGTATACCGAGAATAGTGGACTAAAAGTGTTTGAAAAGTCGATGCACCGAGCGACAGCCGCACTTCCCTTCGGTCGTTCAAGTAGATGTCCTAGCATGTGTTTCACATAGTGAATGCAGTGAATGACACAATACTATTTAATGTTATACAATAACTCAGCTATACCATGAATGAGGCCACTGCATCGAATTGAAGCATTTATCATGCTAAACGTAACACAAACGAATACAAAATAGGACATCCCAACCAGTCACATGAACATAACATTGAAACACATTTATTAGCTGGAAAATCTTTATTAGACATAAATATTGTGAAAAAATTACATAAAAAGACAATATTGTAGTTGTTTTCTGCATATGATTAAAGGATCCATATAGAAGTGAATGAGTAACTTTATCGTTAGGCTAGCATAAGAAAATACCCTCATGGTAAGAAATATATCCCCAACGTAAGAAAGACGACCTTTGAGTTCATAAGCAAGAGCAAGAATGCAAACGCAAACAATGGCGTATCAATGACTCACATGATAACACATAGAGCTTATTCGCAAATATTTCTTTTATTGAAAAGTAGTCCACAGAAAACAAGTTTTAACACAGACACTGCTCACTGACCAAACATAGCTTTAGACAGTTAGATGGCATCTATCTACGGTTGGTGTTTGCTTGTATCATGTTTTCATTTTGAGCTGGAGGTCACATGTTCCTTATCGTTACTGCGAACGCGTCGATGGCAGACATTCTTAACGTAACATATCCACAACAAAGTAAAGTTACCTTGAAGGAAAATTCAATTTGACAATTTCAGCGACGTAGAGCTCTTATTGGTAGTGTCGCATGTGCCATAATATGAGTTACAAACGGAAGATTTTGCTCCACAGAGTAAACTCTGTTATGTAAGCGAAATTGTAACCATGAATGATGCACGTTGCGGTAACAGTAGCGAAGTTCTCAACAAGGTCACAGCTGGCTCACAAAATCGTTCGACCCTGTAATGGCCACCCGTTATTCTGCAGCTGAAACAACTGAAACAACTTATTCCCCTGTATTTCGCAGCATCGGGACACTCTTGAAAAGAAAATATATTAGAGCTAAAAATTACCACCGATACGATTGATTTAGTAACTCGTTTAGTTGCACTAATGCCATAAAGACGGTAAAATTAAGTTATCAAAATTTTGCATTAGTGTTCTTAGGCGTTAAGCCAAGAGTATCAGTAATTTTTCGGTTGGCCATTGCAAGATAAACCATAGAAGGATCAATGCAATGTGATATAAAGAAACTGCGTACGTTCCCATCTCTTCCCCGAATATTCTTTCATATAAAAAAGACATACTTTTAATCAGCTGTTCAGCAGGAATGTTAAGGAATAAGGTTGATTAAACAGAAATTTATAAGAAAACGTCATCGAGCAGCAATGAACCAACATTCCAGAGTCAAGCACCAGACTCAAGCACCAACGCACCAAGTGCCTCAAACAAAAGTACATATGTTTTTTTTTGTAAGTTTTGCCTGCCGTTGCATTGGAGACAAGAAGCATAGTGTTGCTGATAATTTTTATGTGGGCAGAGTCGACCGGGGAGTCGTGATCTAATCATTGCAGGCTTTGTGCGGTAGTCGTCAATGCGGATCAGTGTTGCCCGATGGCAATGCATGGGATGTGTACCATGTCTTGGTTTATTTCTTCCTGTATAATTTGTTACGTATCTGTAGCCACGCTGAGTTATTGCTAAGAACCCGTAATATTTACGCACGCAAAAAAGACGAAATACCTTCACATAATAAACGCAGCATGCATTAGCACAAGAAAACCGCACAGAGTGCGTACTCTACACTGGGAAATGCAAAATGCGTTACGTCAGCAGATTTTTCAATTCAGTCTTGCATTTCAGTACCTTTATTTCAACACTCACTTTCCTGTTCTAACAGTGAGAAACGTCATGAGCTGATAGTTTTTACGTGAGTGAAATTGATTCAGAGCTTTGAATCATGACCACAATGTATAGTGTGTACAAGTACAATTCCTCGACATTGTAATTGAGCGTATAGTCATAGTGACTTAAGAAACTCAGCGCATAGCCTTTCATGACTTTTCGCAACAATAAGAAAAGATATTTATTATTTTTAATATTTTTGTTAGCTAAACCTCCAAAAGGATCTCGAAAGCCGAGGCCACCCCCCGACACCAACCCTGATTGTTACAACCTCAACACCACGGTAAGTTCAGCAACACATTTGACTGTGTTTATTTTTTACATCGTAAAGAATGCGGGCTGAGCTGTTGGTGTGTTTAGGTTCCTGATGAAAAACATAAACTGGCCTTATAAGGTATTGCGAGTTTTCTGTTTTGGTGTATCTACTACGCCCTTTTGTGCTTGCTGAAAATATGCATTCCTAAAAGATACGAGAACGCATGCAGTCATTACCATACAAAACAGGCTAATGGAGGTGTATTTACAAATGCATGTTTATTGTTTTAGATTTGTAAGTGGTCAGCTAGAGTTATATAAGAGTTCACGTTTTCGGCAGCTATTCTCTTCTAGTATATGTCCTCACACCTAACGAAAGAACTGAAATTTCCCGCTGATTTAAAGCTTTCACATAAATCAGATTTTATTTCCATGTTGTTAGTAACACGACTTAAAAAAAAACCAAGCCCGAGCGCTGTTGAAACCATAGTAATGTTCAAATTATAAGGTGGTGGGCCAGAAAAATTAAATTAGCTTATCGTGCCGCACACACAAAGGCTACATTCGAAACCAAGGTTTTGGATCAGTTTTTCCCGAGATACATTACTGACTTGTATGGGCAGTCGATATGTTGCAATAAGAAAATTTTTAAAAATTTAATAATTACATTTATAAACGATTACATAACAGTTCATATGCTAGCGAAATTGGTTTCGATCAGGAACAATGTGGAGCCACATCCATTGTGACTACTTTATGATTATGAAGATTTGAATGCCAAATTTTCTAAACGTAGAGAGAGACGAAGAGAGAAAAGCGAAGGAATGACAGGGAGGTAGACCAGATTACATCCGGTTTTCTACCCTACATGGGGATAGGGAAATTGGAGGAAAATAAATAAGAAGAGATAAGAGGTGAAGTTGTATAACAGCACAGACAGCAGCGCGTGTACCACGCGTGTACATAAGGTCGTAAATCTGAGAAGAGTCACAGAGAACGAATAAACTTCGACTGCCTCAGATGAAGTGCACTACAATAAGTGATATTAAAGAAGGCTTGCAAGGACTGGCTTCAAGATATCCTGAAATTGCAGCGCGCTTCAAGCTGATGCTGTTGTCAATCTGGTGAGAAGTGTGCACATTGGGCTTATCAGTGACCTCAAAACAGCGATGACACGAAGGTCTTTCTTCGTTGCGGAGATGGTTAGTGGAATATTTTGTGATCTCCCGGTAGATGAGCAGTGAAGGTATAAGAACGGTCACGCGACATTCGATGCTGCCTACATCCCCTTTGCATCTTTTTGGCTCTAAGAAGAATCCTATCAACAGGTCTTGCTTGCACTATGTAGCTTCGGTAATAATGTATCGTCATTTCAGCAAAATAGTTACCTAATGCTGAAACAATACCCTTCTGAAGCTGCCAACTGAAACGCTATGTGTGAGGACGCCTGTTTGCTTAAATATAATGTCGCGCACGGATGTATCGAATGGGTGTGTTACTCTCACCACTTATAACAGAGAAAAACGACTGCTACGCTTCTATTTAGGTGCTCACTGATCAGTTTTAACGTGTGTTCGAAGATCATCAATCAGCACGTTGAAGACGGGGAATTCATCGATTTGGATACTCCTCAATTGAAGTTATGACAGTAATGTCTGCCTCGTCAGGTAATCCATTTTAACGGGCGGAATGCTGAACAAAATTGGACTGTGCGACTCAGCATGTTGTGCCCAATATAACGTTGTTGAAGACATCAAACATGTCCTCTGTGAGTGTACGAAATACGCATCAGAGAGACAGTCTCTGAATATCAGCTAAAAATGCAACTGGACACAAACTTGGAGTTATAAAGCATTCTAGGCCCATGGCAGAACACCTCCAGTGCGTTAGACTCCACAAAAGCGCTACTAACATTTTTATGGGCCTCAGGCTTGAACGAAATGTTGTAAATAGTGCAGTGCGCGTGAGTGGCTGTATGTATTATGTGACTGTTATGCGTGTATGTAACTAACTGTATGTGTTGTGTGCTTATCATTGCCTATATCACTGTCATCACCCAGCAACTGGAGTAGCCTCTCAGGTGAAAAACCAGGCAAACCTCTCCAGCTTCCCAATAAAATAATTCTCTCTCTCTCCCTCTATACTAAAGCATGAACTTCATTATTAACCACTATTGAAATGCAAAAAGAAACAACACGAGTAGGTTCAATTTATGTAGTGACAACTGTGACATGTGGCTGACTGATATTTTTTTTTATTTCAGAATTACGTTTATCGGAAGTGCAGCTTTATTTGTCAAGTAGACGAGCTTTTCACCTTGCGAAATCGCCAACGGTGCATAGTAAGTGTTAATGAAACACGACTTTTAATTTTCACTTTCTAATGCACGGTGACGCTTTGTGGTTAATTCTTAATGATACTGCTGTTGCTGACTATGGTACTTTCCTCCACGAAGTGTTGAAAGTGCTAACACATTCATACTTAATCGAAAATGAACACTTAAGAGGCGTACATAATTTAAACATATACAAGAAATTCCCCACCTGCACTATACACAGAGACCTAACTTCTTGTTACACATATTTACGTTGTAAGCATTGTCTCAGTTTCATTCTATACGTGCAAATCAATTCATAACACATGTAGAATTTTTTTACTTCTGCAGTATTGTACACTCGGTGATTACCTCATCTTATTGAGTATCTAAATCAAGACTTTTAAAAAGTAAGCGCAAGCACGTTAACAAAATGTTTAAATTTTAGTGATCAGTAGGAGTTATGACTGTTTTATTTTTAAGCGTGTTTGAAGAGCAGCGTACCGACATTTAACTTGCCAAAGTGTGCCATTGACAAAGCTCTTTGTGTTAGGTGTGAACTCTTCTCTTAAAGCACCCCTTTTTATATGATCCCGTAATCAGCTATCATAATGGGTGATTAGAGTGGAATAAATTGCGAATGTTACGTCAGAAAATTCAGATTTAGCGTAGAGGACATAAATTACGTCTTATTTTAAAATAATGCAGACACAAGAATATTAGCTTAAACATTCAGAATGACCATGCCAGCTTAGACTCGATGTAGGCGTAGCAATCATGTTGCCTTTTCCTCCTCAAAAGAAGATGAAGCAAACGCAAAAAGCCAATGATAATGACCGTTTTTTTTATTTAACTACAGCTTTTTCATTTATTTAGGAGCTTTTTGTTTTGCTCCCCCTGCGTAATTATGCGGGCTAATCATCAGCGCAACTCCTAATAAAGTCTAGATATAGAAGACTGTGATAAAGAATAACAAAACAGCACATGAAATATTCATGTGCAACAAACAGGAGCGCGTTGTACAATGAGACAGTGATCTTCAAAGTTATCGCGAAGGTCAGATATTCAACTTAATGAAGCCGCTGTCAGCTACTTACGTCGTAAAGAGGTTTCTAAAATGCTGCAGGGCAACCCTGGAAAATCGTCAATTACGCACCGACTTGCTCATCTTGGTTGATATTTAAAGTTGGTCCTTATAAATAAACGACAAGCTATCACTTTTGGTCAAGCTAAGCCTTAAACTATGAAAAAGGATAGAGTACACGTAACCCGTTTTTCAAATGAAAAACAGGCAATAATGCAAAGGAAAGTGTGAACGATGCTATTACAGTAACTGCAATTTAAATGTGAACAATGAAAAGTGGACGGAAAGACAACTTACCTGCGGAAGGGACCGAACAGGTGACCTTCGAATAACGCGCCCGATATTATAAGCTACGGTGCGGGTCATCGTTCCGTCCACATTACTGGGTATATATGTGCATTTATACCTGGGAGAACCAGTCAGTGCCGTCAAAGGCCGCTACAGCGAGCGTAGAACTTTTTTTTTGGCTGTATACGCTGCCTCGTACGAGATATTATCACAAGCTCGCAGCTGACTACTAATCTCTTGTATACAAACCGAGGGCATCAAGTCTGCCATATTGCCACCCTCGCAATAAATGACAGAAGAGAGTGTAAAACATAAAGATAGTTTTTTTAGACACATGAATGATAAGAACTAACACAGAACGATGCCAAGAAATGTGTAAAAGCAAGTTGTATACAGTACAAGTACTTACAATAACGTCCCCTATATTTTCCTTCACATAGTGGTCCGTTAGTTCCATTAATATTGTGTCTAAAAACAAAGGGAGCCCCCAAACTAACAATTTTTTGTTTATTCTGTAAAATTATAAATGGCACGTGATACCACAGCAGACGCAGGCAGGACGTTCTGTATGCGTCTACTCTGGCAACTTGTTTCTTCAGTTTACGCAGTATATCTTAAAAACTAGCCACCCAACACACGCTGCTCACGTGTCACTCCTTTCGGATTATCCTGACATGCCACGTTTATTTTTTAAAAAGACACCTCAGCTCTCTCGTTGGTGGCATGACTTTCCAAAGAGAGTATACTGGTTTAATGACCAAGCAAGAAAGTTGACATGCCTCTTTAAAGATATCCTTATAAGTCGTAAGCCACAACTCTCAGGAAAAAAAAAGATAAAGGGTTATCTTTTTAGAATGTATATTTCGAGAGTACCACAATGACATCAATAGCGGCTTTATTTCCAACGTGAAACGTTGCAGCTGCCAGGGCAAACTCCAACCCGCGGCACATCTCTAGTAACGGGAAGTGCGACGGGAATCTGCGTTGGCGGAAAATGTGTACTTAACGACACCTTGGCTCCACCGCAAAAACGTAAGTCGTGTTTGCTCACAATTTTCGCGTATTGACATTGAAGAAACCGGTATTGGACAAAATGAGGTAATGCTTTCTCGAAGTACGTCTCGCAATGCAGCCCGCTCAGCCACCGTTCCGATAGTGTGATTCTAGATAACGATTTTTAATCAGAAAAAATGATAAACACAATCAAAACTTGTGCTAAATTGCTGACTCGTACCACATTCTTCTATACGAACAGTCATAAATAGTTACATTATGAGCAATACCTTTTTAAGTACTTTTACGTCAACAACGTCCTTTTCTGAACCTACTAGTTAGTATGCCTGTTTAGTGGTGTTAAGACATTATTCTATATGGTCGCGGTACAACGCGAATAAAACACAGATACACCTTGGGACGACGAAAGCAGCGTGTCCTCAACAGCTGAGCCACAAGATCGTCTTCTTCGGCCTCGAGAGAAGCTAGAGGCCCACTACCTCGTGCCCACTAAATGCCCCATCATTGTTATCGTCTGATAAGAGCGTCTGACAGCCTTTTTATCGGTCGGCATAGGGAACTGTTCTACGGCTGCGATTTTTTCAGGATCGGGACGAATACCAGCATGACTGACGACATGACCAATAAATCGCAGCTCTTCGTAGCAAAAGTGGCACTTCTCAGGCTTCAACGTCAGGCCCGCGGACTGTATGGCTCGTAAGACCACCTCAAGTCTTTCAAGGTGCTCGTCAAACGTCGCGGAAAACACTATGACGTCGTCCAGATATACTAAGCATGTTTTCCACTTCAACCCAGAAAGCGCGGTATCCATGAGTCTTTGAAAGGTAGCAGGGGCTGAGCACAAACCGAATGGCAAGACCTTGAATTTATATAACCCATCTGGTGTCACAAAAGCGGTCTTCTCGCGGTCTCTCGGGTCCACCTCGATTTGCCAGTATCCACTCCGCAAGTCCATTGAAGAGAAGTATCGAGCATGCCGAAGTCTGTCGAGAGAGTCGTCTATACGCGGTAGTGGATATACGTCTTTCTTGGTCACCTTATTTAGCTTCCGGTAATCGACACAGAAGCGCAGGCTGCCGTCCTTTTTCTTGACGCCCAGGGGCTCTGTGAAGGCTGAATGACGTCATCTTCAAGCATTATGTCTACCTGCTGTTGTATCGCTTCACGTTCTTTTGGAGCCACGCGATAAGGGTTCTGGTGAATAGGTCTCGCTGTTTCCTCAGTAATTATCCGATTCCTGGTTAGAGGCGTGCGGCCAACTCTTCATGTTGTCGAAAAGCAGTCTCTAAATTTGGCCAGTAGCTCAAGGAGTCTGCGTCGGTCGTCTTTCGGCAAAGTAATGCTAACGTCCAGAACAGGCGCTGAATCAAGATTTAGCGACTCGTCGACTACCGCCAAGCAGCCTTCGGCATCTACGACATCGTCGAAGTAAGCGACAGCCGTGCCTTTAGGAAGGTGCCGGCGCTCAACACTAAAATTGGTCAGCAGCAAGTCCGTGCGTCCAGCAGCAACTCTGGCGATACCTCGTGCGACAGAAATACCGTGGGTGAAGAGCAGCGAGCTTATTCGTCCACATGTAGACACGCGTCAATATGTAGTTTCTCTATGAAAGGCATAACTTTATGTCAAGAAAAAATTATCAAAATGCGGAAGAAAGTGCGCAAATGTGTTAACTTTAGCGCATACTTCACTGTGAGAACCAGTGAATTCGCGATTTTTTAGGAATTGAAGCGTTTTTTCAAGATGGTAAGTACACTTTTTTGGTAAAATACGATGAAATGTGAATTGACAACTTCGAAAAAAGAAAACCAATGAAAATGCCACCCGCAAACAAAACTATGAAATCTGCACTAGCCGCTAGGAAGGATTTCCTCTGTCATTTCCATTTGGCTAGCATAAATTGAAAAGAAAAAGGCAAGCTAGTTTAGTGCGGAGGCACACATGCCGGCCCGATCAAGCAGCCGGAGTGATAAAAGTTTGTTACTGCAGACGAGCATACCTTCACTTTCACTAACTAGCAACAGAAGAGAAACAAAATGAGGATGCATTTTCATGAAGGAAACGCAGTTCTCAATACGCCGATCTTCTTAGAAACAGTATGTAAGTGAGTTGAAGGCTCGGTTTCCATGTTATGGCTACTCACTTATACCTTACCATGTGGCAGCATTTCTGGTGTTCCCTTTTTGTGTACCTGATTGGCGCTCTTAAGTAAGAAAGCACATTTTGCGCAGTTCTGATTATGGGTACTAAGTAGAAGTACGAATGTTTAAAGTGTTGCTATGACACTGTAATTAGAAGCATCTGCGCTGCACCTCTCCCATTTTGCTTCGACTGGATGGAGAAGCTAGCAATAATGCAAGATTTACACATTTTCTTCCTCTGAATATAGCTCATTCCAGCAATTACAGGGGATTCACCTTTCATGTTCCTTTGTTTTACTTTGCCTTAGCAAAATTGTTGCTGGAAGTTCAAATCCACGCATGTGTCATCAGCAATTCATTGGCAGATACAACATTATGGATTTCGACGGTAACCAATAATATTTTTTACCTTTCATGTAGCAACAATTCCAACGCCTCCACCAGAAACTAATCCAGATTGTGCTGCCAGCAAGAAGAAGAATTCTGTGAGTATCACAGATTCCTTTTCTGGAGATTGCTGGTTCAATTTCATGATAACATTTCAGAGGTTCTAAAACTAATAGCAGTTTATCGCTTAGTCTTTTGTACGAGTGGCCAAGACTGAGTGAAAACTTCAGTCTTCATCGCTGTGTTTCCATAGGTTTGTGACTAACTATTTCGTTTTGTCGACTTTCGCTGTGCTTTACTTTAAGTAATTTACCAAGTGAGGAGTACGCATCGAGAATGATTCCGCTTAACTGACTTCCTTTTTTCCCATCCTCCAATTCATATAAGTGACTTTCAGCTGCCCATTCATAGTTTGCAGGTATAGATCTTTCGGTGACGTGCTTCTAGAAGCCAAGTCGCTCGATCTCGAGCTCATGCATAAAAGGGCATTATGAGGATTACAGACGCTATTTTGGGTTATTTGTAGTATCAAACATGATGCAGCACGGACACGAATTAAGTTGCTCGCCTTCTGTGAAGCCACTATCTCGTGACTACATAGATAAGTTCAGGTAAATTTCTCAAGAACCTATTGACATATTTTAAAACATGAAATTAGAAATCAGCCTTATGCTCGATGATCGGCAATGTAATAAAGCTTCAAGTACACAGACTGAAATGAAAGCTTGGTGTTTTGCCCCATATGCAAAGATTTGTTTCGCGATAGCCTAGGAATGAGTTTCTTTTCTAAAAAACGATAATAATTAAACATTTATTATTATTGATCAAATTAGTGATCCTTACGGATATAACTTTTTTTTTCAGACTTACCTTTATCAGAAATGTACATTTGCTTGCGAAGGTGATGAACAAGTAGCATTGGTCAATAAAGAATCCTGTGTAGTAAGTATTTCTGAATGAACAATTTTTGTTTTCCAAGAACACGGCATGCACCATTGTTTCTTAGACCAATGTTTCTAAATTACACTGCACATTCATCTAATGCATGTTATGTTTCAAGCGGAGGTCATCCAATGCATGTTATGTTTCAAGCGGAGGTACGGTATTCCTTGTGCGATTTCCAATGAAAATAGTTGTGCTAGCGTCGTAGAGTAATGCTGAGCTCGCTGACATTTTATGTGAAGTATTAAAAAAATAGAAATTGCGAACCTAGATATACCAAATATTTTAGCAGTCAATAATCGCAACGTAAGTCACATTCTTTATTCAAACTGTTCTTTAGTATTTTAACGCACGAAATTTCAGCTCAAGCAGCTATCCCCTGGTGGTGCAAAAAATCAAGTTAAAATAGGAGGTGAGATTGCTGTGGAAATGGGATTCTGCGTGGAAGGCCAATGTGTTCCACCGGGCAGCCAGGGGCCCCCATCAAGTAAGATAAATTACGTATTTTTTTCTAGAGAAAACCAATAGCAGTTTAGGACATACACACTGAAGCGCCATCTATCCTGCGTAAGTTCGTGCACGTCACAAGACATAGATCATCAAATATAGAGTAGAGAATCACTGAAGGACGTTCAAAATGACAAGTTTTAAACTACAGTTAGAGCATACGGAGTTACTAAAATGAGAGCTGGTGTACTTGTTTGGTAGCGAGGGCAATACAGGATCTAATTTTCTGGTGTTGCTGCTAAGCGGATGTGTTTGTTCTATTTATCACCTAAAGGATGATGAGGAAGTTACATAGGGTTAGGTGAGAGCCAGGTTCGATCATTATTACCTGAAGAAAAATAATCGACAATTGCGTCCAAATAATTGTGTGCAGTAGACAATTAAATAACGAACGAATAAGATACTTTCAGTTTGACCGCCTCGTCTGATTGAAACAAATTTGTTAAGTATGTTATTGAGATATACTATAGTAAGACATTATTTTAGTGGCTTGGAAAGAAATATGAACATTAGATGGTTTATTTACACATCAGCACATATTATTGTACATAAAGGCACGGGAACTCCTAACGCTTCTATCGCCAATTTTGAAGAACTTGAATAATGCGTTAGAGTCAACTTTGGCATTACATATATTGCAGATGGAAAGCCCCCCCGTGACACAAACCCGGATTGTGCAGCTTGGAAAAAGAAGAAAGCTGTAAGAACCACTCACTCTATTTTCTGCTACATTTTCTCGTTCTATGTTTGCCCTTTCTACTTAAGCTTGATCACTATTTTTGATTGATATGTGGGCTTTAACACCCCAACACCACCATATAATTATGAGAGACGCCGAAGTGGAGGACTCCGGAAATTTTGACAACGTGGGGTTCTTTAACTTGCACTTAAATATGAGCACACGGGCTTACAGCATTTTCGCGTCCATCGAAAATGCAGCCGCCGCAGCCGGGATTCGATCCCGCGACCTACGGGTCAGCAGCCGAGTACCTTAGCCACTAGACTACCGCGATGAGGAAGATCACTATTCTTCAAAGAATCATATCGGGATAGCCCCATTTATGCCAAGTGTTACTGGCTAGCAGTGTAAATGTGTATTGGCAGCGTGATTTCGGCAGGGTAGCAGATATACAAAGCACGCACTTTTGCGGTTTCTACCCGTGCTCCTGTCTCCCACTAACGACGCTCTGCGCAACGAGTCATACAGAGGTGTCATATAGAGGTTGGGTGGTTAACTACTGGGTGGAGTTCAGAAATAACCTGTAGAGATCACCACCTTTCAGTTCTTTCATTAGGCTGCCACCGGAGCGGGGCACCTCCTGTACCTTCTGTGTATGTCTATATGTGTCGGTCCTAACAAAGGTGGGTAACCCAGTTTTGTCCGGGGAGCCAGCTTGTGCGTGTCGCTTCTTGTGTGGCCATGCCTCTTCGCAAAACTGACCACGTGACAAAAACGAATCTGGCTATATGAAAACACGCGTTTTGTTGCCCATGTTTTTGAAGTAACTTGGTTATTCCGCATTGGTTTTATATATCTTCTTGCATGCTCTCTGTGCTTTATGCATACAAGTTCAAGTGCACTCTGATTACTTCAATTGTTAACATTACTGAAGAATAACTTTACAAGGCAGCCGAAATGTAAAAGTATGTTTTGTGTTATCTAAGATAACTTTTATTGTCATGAAATAATATCGCAGCTGGTAATAGCTGCAGTTCAAGGTAAGAACAGGACGGAAAGGACAAACAGGGGTGTTAACCAGTGTAGAACAACCGGTATGCTACGTACGCTATACTGGGGACAGAGATGAGGAAGTTTGAAAATTTTCCTGAATGTAAAGAACGTGGTATACTTCCGTTATTTCCACAGGGTTAGTTGAGGTACAAAAGTTTGCAAGTTACTTCGTAAATTATGCAACTGCATTATTAAACCAAGAGAGCAGCGCCATTCACGCTGCTGAAGTATATTATTCTGGTCCTCTGGAGGGCTTCTAACTTTTCTGGATGGATGAAACTATGACGCTACTCATTCTCAATAGTGCAGTGAAATTTTGTTTATTTCATGCAAAATAGGGAAATTTATTCGATCGTGAAGTACGACAGTGAAATTCTAACATGGCACATAATAATGACATAATTGCTTGTGCTATCATTCGGGTTTATCTTAACCTTGTTTGGTGTTAATACATAATTATGTCTTTACTAGGGGTTGTCAAGTAAGATCTCTTTTTTCAAACTTAGCAATAGTGCACAACACCATAGAACTTTAAAGCGTCACTTTTTATTGGCGAAAGAACTTCTGAATCCTGGCATGAAACATCCAGAATCTTTATATGCCGCCAACCATATCACTCATTAGGCCATCAGTTTGCTGTTCCATTTTCAATTTTTTTGCGCAACTTAAAGCCCCAGCAAGTGTTCCGTCTGTAGAAAGCACACCCTGCCTGCTTTCGGCAGACATTTAATTGTTAATTATGCTTTTGCTGTAAATAGTTTTGTATGCCCATTTCTGCATAAGACCTAGTAAACAGGCTAGCAGTAATAAATAAATAAATAAATAAATAAATGAATAAATAAATAAATAAATAAATAAATAAATAAATAAACGGCATGGGAATTCAAGTTTTCAGAGTCCCTAGATATTTGCATGACTTCTTAGTAGTTTATTATTTGGCGCCTCCCTGACGTATTCTGAGATGTCGCAAATGGTTAAAGTAGTTGAAAAAAACGTCTTTCCTATCTGGCCATAACATAGCACATTTCACTTCAGGATTCCTTTCGGTTAACAAAAACCTCCATGTGCATGCGTACCTTTTTCAGACGAAACAGGTGTGCATTTTTTAGTTCCGCGCGCCAGCTTTGATTTGCACCGAAACCATGCAAAGCTCCCTCCGCCAAATTTTGTTCGATTATTTTTCACCAATTGGGGGGGGGGGGGGGTGCTTGCGCGGGATTAAAATATAATTAGTAAAAGAAGCAATCATTTCATGCATTCTCCTAAGGTAAGGTTAATACATAAATATTGCATCGTTATTCCTTAAATATTCCTATATATTTACAATTTTTTAAATTGAATTCAACGAAGTGAAACTTGTTGCAATGAAAAATCACTCAAAATCCATTGTTGCTGGCGTCAATGTCCCGACTAGCAGAATTGTCCTTTGCCAAGGCAACAACTGTTGCTGCTTTCACAATAATAATTTTTCTTGGCGAAACGTTGACTCCAGACACTACCTGTTCAATGATTTCTCAGCAAGCTTTCACATGTATCTTCCTAAATACGTATTGTATGCGATTTTGTACTAGTATTGAGTTCCTTTTTTGATGTATGTAATTTTGTTGCATCTTTTCTGTTTGTAGTAATAATACTTGCTGTCCATTTTTCTATTATATTTCAGGATTATCCTTACAACAACTGCACATTTATATGCGAAGGGGATGAAGATGTGTTGCTCAACAGTAGGCAATTTTGTGTTGTAAGTATGTGGGTGGATAGCGTTATGTTATTCGAGCACCAATTTTCTTAATAAAATATTATGTTTAAGGATTCACCATTTCAAATAATGATAACATTTGCATGACCTTGCATATAATGTTAGCGACCATCTTGTTTTTAGGCAGGAGAAGTGATTAGTCATAATATTCAGTCTACACAATAATGGCTGGACGTTGGGGTTGTTTTTTGTCCAGACAATCATGAGGCCATCCTATATGATGGTACTGTCCGTAACACAATGTTTATCTCCAAGGCTAAAAATACAGTGTTTTCTATGAGCGATATCGTTTGCGCTTCCGTCACATGCAACAAGCAGGTACACGCATAATGTTTTAAGGTTTCTTCTTGAATATATAGCAAGAACACATCGCTTGAATCCATCATTTGAAGCTTTTTGTAAGATAAGAATGCAAATTTGCAGCTGAAACCTCAAGCCCCTAAGAAAACTCATGTTAATGGTGGCGACCAGGACACTGCCGACTTAGGAGTCTGCGTAGGTGGCAGATGTATTCCAAACAATATCCAGACGCCGGAAACAAGTAAGATAAATTCACGTGTTTTTCGCTGACGTGCCCATAATAGCAGAAAGTTACAGTTAATGAAGAGAACATCACTGAGCGACTGCCTGTGAAACCCTGCACTGTGTGATGGTGTGCGATGTGCATTTCCTTCTCTCTTTCTCTTTTTCTCTTTTCCTCCTTCATTCTCCTCTTCCCACGTGTAGGGTAGCGAAATGGCCGTTGTCTAGTTAACCTCTCTCCATTACTTTTATTCCTTCTCTCTCTCTTTAAACACTGTCGAGAAAACTCTTTTATTCATGCCCGTTGGCTTTTCAAGGCATGCAATGTCAAAATTTTAAGTAAATATGGAGTCAGCACACACTGAAAAAAATTCGGCAGATCCCCGGTACCTGTGCATCAAGGTTATGCGAAGCATGCGGAGGGAAAGTGACCTTGTTGCAAGTTCTTTATTGAGTGACGCGGCATGAAATGACGCTAAATATATGTACAAGTGTTGCACACGCAGATTTGCAGATGTTCATATAACCAGTTGTTTGCCCTAGCACAACAATGTCCACCGAAACATGCGTATCAGAAACACCAGAAGCTGATACAAAGCGCTGATGCTCGCGAAGGTGCTGACCGTAGGCACTGCTACATATTAGAACTTTAGCGCATGGCAATTATCCACGATTGACATTAGCCCGACATGACGGCTTTATCAATTGATTGATATGTGCAGTTTAACGTCCCAAAACCACCATATGATTATGAGAGACGCCGTAGTGGAGGGCTCCGGAAATTTCGACTACCAGGGGTTTTTAACCTGCACCCAAATCTGAGCACACGGGCCTACAACATTTCCGCCTCCATCGGAAATGCAGCCGCCACAGCCGGGATTCAAACTCGCGACCTGCGGGTCAGCAGCCGAGTACCTTAGACATTAGACCAACATGGCGGGGAAGACAGCTTTATCAAAGCAGTACATAGGCAATGTTTATAAAATTGGGTAGGCAGCACTGCAACTGCTACTGGCGTTTCACGAAGATTAGCGTCTATTAGAAAAGTAGTTCCGAGACGTGGCGTAGCCCTGTGGTACAATGCTTGACTGCTACGCAGAATGCTTTGGGTTCAATTCCTGCTGCGACCCTGCTATTTATTATTTGCATTTTTCGGGGGGCCAGCGCTGCTTATGTGAGGTTTTTCTTAACACCAACTTTATTCCATGCCTTCGTTGGGTCGACGCTACCATGTCGAGTATCGCTTTAACGTGTTAAAATTGCCCATGTGTGTTCTCGCCGTTACTGGGTGGATACAGTGCCAATCACCTGTGGCACATACCCGCATAACAGTGGCTCATACCCGCCCGTGGGTTTGTGCCACAGTCTGGCGGAAAGTGTATGACGATGTACGCGATGGGATTGTGACATTATTCTTGTCTTGACTATCGCGTCATTTTTGTCAAACAATCTTACCTTCCCATGCTAAATTTGCTTCACGCCAAGTTAAGGGGGTGACCGCGAGAGCATGCGCACGTAAGTGGCTTGATAGATAGATAGATAGATAGATAGATAGATAGATAGATAGATAGATAGATAGATAGATAGATAGATAGATAGATAGATAGATAGATACGCTCAAAGTCGCCGAAGTTCGCTAAGAAATCCTTCGCATATTAAATGGTGAATTTCATAGAAATGTATTCCATGGGGATACTAACCACTGTTATACGCGTAAAACAATACAAGAACTTCGATATACAAACAGCAAACACATAAATACTTTTACGTTAGTCTACTCTCCGCGATATCAGCGTAATCACACTGTGGGTCAATTATGAAAGAATGAACAAAGAAATATTTGTCTCCCAAAGGCGTCGGCAGGACTGTTTTTTTTTTTCAGGGAGAGGGGCTAACCCGTATTGCATAACGGTGGGAGCAGAAGGTGGCGATGGTTTGTGTGTGGGGGAGGGAGTATGTGTTGGTATGGCCTGAGGTGGGGGGGGGGGACAAGTAATTCATTTGCACACCACTCTGTCAACGCCCATGTCATCGCATATTCTAAAGCTAAATCGTGCTAAAATATTAAGAACCAACACACATTGATGGCAAGAAAATTTATAGAGTTTCTTAATTTTATAGTGGTTGTTAAGAAACAAAGGAGGACGGAAAGATAACTTGCCGCTGGCAAGGACTGAGCCTGCGACTTCTGGATAACGCGTCTGATTCTTTGTGAATTGATGTCTGTTAGAGCTCATTCAAATTGTGTGTAACAAAAGACCACGCGCTTAAATCTCTGCTCCTTTCATAAATTGTGCTGAATGCGATTCTTCCTTATTTTTTGATGTAGCTAGAAAGCCAGGACCCCCACGTGACACGAATCCAGATTGTAATGCTTGGAGGAAAAATCTAACGGTAAGCACCAGGCATAGCTGTGTCACTAGAGCTCGTTGTCTTTATATACACACCTCCCACGCACGAGATGCCTATAGACCACGTTGACTCCCGCCAGAGTACCTGCCACGCGAAATCTCATTGCGTCGTGTTATCTTTTTGTACAACATAGCTGCTTTTAAACCACCGGTATAAAGACTTATCCTGCATCTCATGTTCTACTTGCAATGTAGACACATTATTGTCTATCTGCGGCCAATTCTGTTTCCTTCGCACGTTAAGAACATCATTTAGAACCTTATTGTATAGCTTTAGTAGCACGTTTGGTCGTTTTTAAAGAGCTGATTTGTACTAGATTATTCTAGGATCAAACAATAGGTGTTATAACCCAGAGCGGAGATAGTAAAGTGAGCCGAGATATACGCCTCTAGGTTGTATAAGTCGATAAAATAGGGAGTAAGCCTTTTTAGTATCGGACTCTCTTCAGTCTTGAGCGATAGCGACATACGACCACTCGTCATTTTCTCGTATCATCAAAGGGCTTCAAAAACCAGGCTTCACTCAACCTACTTTCACTCGTGTGCTAACTCAACGTCGCGCACGTTTCAGCTCTTCGTCTGCGGTAATTTACCGGTACAGTGGGTTGAGATGGTTATTCAGACATCCCCTACACCCTCCGGTCATTTTTCGCATGTCTCTTTAGGTACGAGCAATTAGGAACAAATAATTGATTGTCAATAATTTTAATGTAGTTAAAGATAGGCATTGTGCATAAAAGTGATTGCATCAGCATTTATTTTTGTACAAGATGCATACATGATTTTTTTTAGCACGTTGGACGCAGAGCTATTGCAAACAATCAGCATGAATTGAGTCGCATGTTTAGTTATAGCTTCCTCGCTTTATTTTTTCATTTCAGAATTACCTTTATCGCAACTGCATGTTTGTATGCGAAGGAGATGAAGAAGTGCCTTTGAGCAATAAACAATCTTGCGTCGTAAGTACGGTTTATTGAAAGTATCTATTATCAAATAATAGATAGCCTCCCCTTTACGATGGCTTAACGCAAATGAGTATAACAAGGCAATAAATACCTATGGTACGCTTTTATAGGGCATAAAATTTATCCAGGAATACAGTATCCTGATCGAGCAAGACTAGTTAGCGCGTTGAGTATTAAAGCAAGCAAAAGCTGTGTGAGCCTTTAAGTTTTAATTTTGTAGTGAGAAACAGGGATACTCCAATACCACAAACCGATACATTTTTTTAACTTTCTAACTGAAATTTTCAGCTCAACTCGACATCTGAACAGGATACGAAAAATCAAGTAAACGGGGGAGAGCTAGGCACCGTAGAGATGGGATACTGCAAAGACGGCAAATGTGTTCCCTTGGACAACAAGGCACCTATTACTAGTAAGATTTCCAACTTGTACTTCCTCTATTAATGAAAAATTGTCTAAAAATTTAAAATCAACTAAGGCGCACAAAGGCACAATCGAAATAATCGCAATGTGTGCCTCGCAGAAGACAGGCAGGGGTGCCATGAGGCCACAAAGCCATTGATGATACAGTGATGAGCAACCGATGAACGAAATACTAATATATACATTTTCACACTCCGCTTAGGACTCCTTATAGGGACAATAGAAATTTCTAAATAAATTCCGCCGTGTGGCTTTTCCCGTATTTCTCGAGAACTAAAAAAAATATCTTGTTGAAGAAAGCTGTGATACTTGTTAACTAGTATTCATTACCTAATGAAACATCCGAAAAATGTGACGTTACCTGTTTACAATCACGATTTCACGTTTTTTTTATTCATAACAAGACATTTGCATTCACAAAGAACACCGTAATTTTTAACCTCCTGAAGCGTAAGAACACTTCGACGTCACTCTTTTTTTTTTCTTTTTTATATGTAGCTATAAAGCCACAACCTCCCAAGGACAAGAACCCAGATTGTTACGCTTGGGAGAAGAATCAAACTGTGAGTATCACACATCGCGTTCTCTATCGTGTTGGTCGTAAACATCTTTGCTTATGCAGACCTCGTTCATTTGCTTGCTAGGCTTCCTTTGGTTGTCGACGTTCGGATTGTGGAGGATTAGATTGTTGATGCAGTATAACCCGAGTGTATATGTGTTCCAGCGATAATCACATAAGTGCGCTCCATGAGCTTTAGTTCCTAGATAGCTGCTGAGCACTGTCCTTCTATATTCGCGGGACTGTTTTCAGAAATGGAAAAAAAAAAACGTGTGATTGCTATTTTACAGCGCTGCTAATTTCCGCCAGTACAGGCGGAAATTAGCAGCGCTATAAAGATAGCAATTAAACTACAGGCCGTATCAGCTTGACATGTAAAGCTTATTAAGTGCGCACTTCGAATACCGGCCGTGGTGGCGGTACCTCGATGGAGCGAAATGCAAGAACACTTGTTTACTTAAACTCATGTGCGCACTATGATCACCGACCAGGTGTTGAAAAAAATTGCGCAGGTTGGGCAGGAGTGCACCCCTTTTGTATTGTATTAGTGGCGTAGCTTTGTCGCGTAAAACAGCAGATATTAGGTTATTTCTCCGAACGTGTGGTATAGAAATTACATCCGCACTTGTTTGTACTAAATCCTCTTAAGGTACCACTGTCGTACGTACGAAATTTCAGCTGATCTTCTTTCCCAGCATACTATTAGTGGAGTCGTGACGATGTATAAAGAAGTATCCTACGAGAGAAAAAAAAAAAGACAACGAATTATAGACCCAGTTTCATTCCTGCTATGTACAATTTTAGTTCATATGTAGAACACCTATCATTGTAATGAAGCATATCATTCTGTGTGTTTACCAAATAATACTGTTTTGTACCAATTTGTTTTGTTTCAGAATTACCTATACCACAGCTGTACATTTGTTTGCCAACTGGATGAAGAAGTGCCATTGAACAATGGACAATCTTGTGTCGTAAGTACAGTTTTAAGCATGTGTTTTGTAACACACTTCGTCCAGGGGGAAACTTAGTTCGGGAAACACTTCATCCAGCTGTCCCATAGTAGTGTGCCTAGTACCCTAAAAAGTTGGCTTTTTTTCTGCAAAATAAACGAAAAATGCTGTTGCCTAGCCTTTAAGTGTCCTTTCAGGAATGTTGAGGGTGATATGTTTGCTTCAGTGGCATCTCGTAGTTGTGTATTATCGGCGTCAAATGAAACCCGAACATCGGCAAGCATTCGGTGCAGTCTGGAGCGCACCCTACAGTCATCAACATTCACAGGCACGCGCATCCGGTTTTGTAGCACTGCACATGTATGCGCGCTTTTCCATGGTGATCGCTGGATGGTGCGGCCGATAACCATCACGGAAGCTTGTCGCTGCTTGGGTTTCATATGCCGCCGATAGTACGCAGTAGCCTACACTTTTCCTTTATTTCTAACGCTTAAACAACTGCACTTGCCTATAGCTTGCCTGAAATGTTATGACGTTTATACATTTTTATTTGTTTGGCGACCATCATATATTACATTTTACTATGGTTTTGTAACCTGTCAAACCCAAAGAATAGGGAAGTTTACAAGGCGGACAGCTACTTAGAGATCTTATACTGAGTGCATTAGGAGCATATATAAGATTTTATGTTTTGATAGTTGAAGCCTCAGCCGCTTTAATACACTAGCTTGATATTTCTATCTAAACTAACATTTCAGCTTAAGCCTGCATCTGGATCTCCTTCAAAAGATGCAAGCGAAGGTGGAGAGCTGGGAACTGCCGACATTGGACACTGCGTGGATGGCAAATGTGTTCGCCCGAACAGCAAGGCACCATTGATAACAAGTAAGACGCCTTCACACTCACTACAATACAGTAACAAAATCAGAAAATGAATAAAACAGGAATGATTTACTTTTTCATTTTTCGCAGCCTAAATTTGCTTACGTGCGATGTACTGCCCTTATGATATATCATATTATCTTTTTGATCATGTTTTGCACTTCCTGTCTTTCGAGATACAGTAGGGCTGGGTATACCAAAACTAATAATGTGTTTATTACTAACCTTCTTGACTCCTCACCCTACGTGATGCCCTCGGGCTTGTAAAAAAATTTTAAAAAATGAAATAAAATAAATAGTTAAATGCTCATCATCACTTTCACCGGGCATATGCAAGTGTTGTCAATGTGTACAAAAGATCTTAATTGCATCACCACCTGATGGAGTGCACAAACTTGACAAATTCACTTCATTATTCAGTTTTAGGTAACGCATAAATCAATCACTTACGGCATGTTAACACGTTAAGAGCAAGCACTGGAAGAAAAAAAAGTATGGTGAAAAAAGTGATTGTGTGCTGGCCCTTATACGGCGTGTTACATTCCCTCATTGTGACATGCTCACATAAATAAAAACTCGCTGATAGAAGAGTTACAGATATCTGGTACACTGAAACGGCATGTCAAAAATTTCTGCGCCTTTGTTTGATATGAGCCTTTTTTATCACATTCCAAAAGACATGATGTATCATTTTCGTATAGTAGCGCCTTCAAGCGTCCGAAATATTCAAAACTGTGTTACACTACCTTGCCTTCATTTCCCGTGTAGCGAAACAGCCAGGACCCCCACGTGACACTAATCCAGATTGTACTGCTTGGAGGACAAATCGAACTGTGAGCATTGTGCATTCTATTCTCAAGTGTCCTGTTTGTCTTTACGTAAAGCGATCCTGGAAACTGTAGGTTTAAGATTTTATTATGGTACCGGCTCTTGTACTCTGCGCTATACCTATATGGTACTTTGCATAGTATAAAAGCATGTATTATTATCATATACTTTCAATGGTAATACTTGACTTACCATTCCAAGGCAATAAATTTAACTCGAGTAGACCCTTTTAGCGAAATAAAACACTAGTAACAAGCTTCATCATAACATTTCCTTGGAGCTGAACATCTACATTGACTAAAGTTGTCTGCTGCGGCCACCGCAGATATGATCGTTTGAAGCACTGTCCGATTCTAGGGGCGATTCGCGCGATAGCGTCCCTGTGAAATTGCAGTTGTTCCATAAACATATTTTACACGGCATTCCAGGCTTCCCTCTAGCGCTTGTCGACTTGAGGGAAGCAAGAACGTACATGAACGATTATTTGCACATATATGTTTCACGGTGATGAGTCACGCAAAAAGTTCGGGAAAAAACACTATGACATGTACTCTTGAATATATGTTACATGCTTCATATTGTGGTTACAAGTTATGAATCACCTCGCACGTTTCTTTGATTGTGTAAATAAATCTGTACACCAACATTAGTGAACAAATTATTTGCCTAATTGACCAACTAGCAAGCACGAATTTTCAGGAATTGTAACTATATAGTTCTCTCTTGAAAATAAGCTTCTTGATAAGAGGCGAGTGCAGTTTACGTAACACCTTTTTAACGTTAGCTTAACCTAAAAATACCAGAGCTATAGGATACACGCAGCACAGTCACTGGAAATGCTGGAATAGCGGCATTTCTAGAGCCGGTCGTCAACATCTCTGGGTAACTATTCAGGTACACTAGCAGGGTGCCCACTAAGCCACGAGTTCTATTTTTTGCGATGTAGGGAAATCCCGTGTCACTGTTCATCATTTTTTGCTTGAGTGAGGTAACCACTACATACCTGTAAAATGGTATGATCACATTGCTGATGAAGTGGCTGATGGCAATAAAGAATTATGGCTGAGCCTTTTGTCATGGTTCGGAAGCCTGCACAGACAATTCAATTCAATTCAATTTTATTTTCCAGTTTATACATACTTGATGGTTGCGTTGGGTTAAAAGCTACATAAGTAGCTTGACGAGACCCAACGACCAATACGTTATCCAGTTCACATCATGTAGACTCTCGCCCCGCCGCGATGGTCTAGTGGTTAAGGTACTCGGCTGCTGACCCGCAGGTCGCGGGATCGAATCCCGGCTGCGGCGGCTGCATTTCCGATGAAAGCGGGAATGTTGTAGGCCCGTGGGCTCAGATTTGGGCGACGTTAAAGAACCCTCGGTGTCCGAAATTTCCGGAGCCCTCCACTATACGGCGTCTTTCATAATCATATGGTGGTGTTCGGACGTTAAATCCCACATGTCATTGTTATTCGAGGTGTTTCATTAAAATGTTTTTCTCATTTTTCCTCTTCCAGGATAATCTCTATCACACCTGCACGTTCACCTGCGAAGGAGACGAAAGAGTGGCTTTGCAAAATAAGGAATCTTGTGTTGTAAGTATGCGCACTTATGTGTTTTTTTTAATTTCCATGTAGCCACACGCTTACATTTTAGACCCCTCACTCCCTTGTAAGTGCAGCACTGGAAAGTCGAACAGCCTCGATTATTTTATATGGTTTTGATGAGCTTGAGCGCCCCACGTAGATATATTAATCGGCAACTAAGGCAGTCACCAACAATAAATCTCCAATATTTGATGGTACTGTATCAATGTCAATGCACTTTGCCACGCCACTTATGAAATTACTGAGGATCTATCTATCTATCTATCTATCTATCTATCTATCTATCTATCTATCTATCTATCTATCTATCTATCTATCTATCTATCTATCTATCTATCTATCTATCTATCTATCTATCTATCTATCTGTCTATTTTCACCCACTTTTTTTCTTCACATTTACATTGCAATTCGGTCTGATAACTTCCCCTATACTTTCCTTGGCATTATTGTCTGCTAGATTTCATTATTATTGTGTCCAAACACGAGAACCCGAGCTTTTAAGTATACATTTCTTTCCCATATAGATAGATAGATAGATAGATAGATAGATAGATAGATAGATAGATAGATAGATAGATAGATAGATAGATAGATAGATAGATAGATAGATAGATAGATAGACCAATAGATAGATAGATAGATAGATAGATAGATAGATAGATAGATAGATAGATAGATAGATAGATAGATAGATAGATAGATAGATAGATAGATAGATAGATAGATAGATAGATAGATAGATAGACAGACAGATAGATAGATAGATAGATAGATAGATAGATAGATAGATAGATAGATAGATAGATAGATAGATAGATAGATAGATAGATAGATAGATAGATAGATAGATAGATAGATAGATAGATAGATAGATAGATAGATAGATAGATAGATAGGATTCTACGTGGGACAAACAGAAATTACGAGATTTCATTCTGGTTGAAAGAACTGGTCGTACAATTTTTATTTCGTTTCATACTTTGAATGTCTATTGCTTTACTACATTAGGTGCGCATTTCTTTAACAATCTAATGGGACATTTCAGCGTCAACCTTCGCCTGGGTCACCTTCAAAACATCCAGGCAGAGAAAAAGACCTGGGAACTGTAGACATGGGACAATGCGTGGATGGCAAATGTGTTCCGCTGAACAGCAACGCCCCAACGTGTAGGATCTCTTCACATAAGTTTTAGATTAAGGTCCTCTCTCACAAATTAGATTTTCTCAATACTTTATCACTATCAGACAATTGAGTGAAGTGTCAGGTAGCATGGCACAAAGATGTACTGTACTGCTCGTGTGTTGTACTAGTCTCCTAATTTACCTTACTACCATCGTGTGGACGTACTTCAATTTGTGTTTACCACTAGTGCATGCAGTGCCCTCTCAACTTGGGGGATAAATAAATAAATAACTGAATATTGAAAATAAATAGGGACTCACTATCACGTTGAAGAGGCCGATACAAGCATGACTAACTGTATTATTATGCTATACAGCATTTGTCTTACATCTGGTAGTTTTTTTGCACAACTTTAACGTAGCTAATTTTATTTTCTAGTTCAATTGTAACTGAAGCAACAGCCGAACTGATTTCTTAAGCACATTTCCCTCAAAGCAAAATTTTAGCGCTGGAAGAAAGAAAAACACAGCGAAAGATACAAGGCAAAAGAAATTATCTTCGTGATTCCCACCATAAATGCGATGTTTCTGCCTGCACAAAGCAAACTCGTCGAATAGAGAGATAAAAAAATTGTTACCTGGAAATGTTTAATAATTGACTGGCTAATGTACGTGACGGAATATCTGTGAGCCTTTCTTTTTTACGATATGACAAAATACAAGAACCCTCACTTGGGTAGTGACTTCTCTCAGCACCTGAAACGTTGCAACTGTGTGACGCTGACTTTCCATGCATTACCCATGCAGCTAAACAGCCACGACCTCCAAAGGAAACTAATCCTGATTGTACTGCTTGGATGACGAATCGCACAGTGAGTATTTTCTGCATTCCCCTCTTCTGCACTGTTCCCTCTGTCCTTAAGAATACTAATCTCCTTGGCCTATCTGCTCGGGGTTTTACGATGCTGCCTGCTGTCGTAAGGTGGGCTACCTACCAAGTACTTCACCTAGTAGAATCGCATGTGCAGTCACGCCAGTAGAACGGTAGTGTTTAACTTATTAAAGGCTCTAAGTTTTACTAAACAAAAGAACTTTGGAGCCAGAAGCAATCATAAAAGCCTTATCAGTTCTCTTTGGCACTGGTGGCCTGCGTTTGTTACACTTCGTCATGAAGTCGCCATTCATATCAACATTAGTCACATGGTCCAATTCTTTAGCCAGTTCGAGTGGCAGCATCTCTGGGTAACTGTCACTGGCATATATACATTTTCCGCATCGGTCTAGGTCTTGGTTTTACTAGTTGTCGCAAACAAAACTTGAGCCGAATCGGCAAGAATGATTTCCAACAGAGTTTCCCGGCGACAAAGAGTTACCAGCGAAACATGTGGAACGTATAGCATTGTAGTGTGCAATACACTTCATAAGGTGGCCATTATCATGAATCACCTCGCACATTTCTTGTCAGTCGCACATTTCTAGGATTGCTACACAAATGTGCAAACTTACAGTAGTCGCGTTTCTTAGGACAATAAAATTCATTCATTCATTCATTCATTCAAGTTACCTCACCTGGTTCATTCAATAACTCCGAACAGCAGACACGAACCAGTAACAAATATAACTGTATTTCGCCATTGTATTCTTTCTTGTATCACAACTTAAGTGCCATAACTCTAGCAGGCATACATTACCATTGCCCTAAAAGTCAACACGAATAATTAATTGCGTAAAAATTGTGGACTGTCTCTCCGAAGGGAACCACGATGGGACGCGAAGCAGCCGTCGTGCGCACGTCGTTGACCCGGCTGAAACGGGCGTCGACACGGGTGCTCGAAGAACGGTTAGAAGCGAAAGTCGGTGTTTGCTTTACTCGAGTAAACGATACTTTGAAGCGCAAAGCGACAAGACGCGGGTTGGGATTTGTGTAAATTTCATCGCATATAAACAAGCCGAAATAGTGTTTCTATTCTTTGAGGCACAGCGGCATGCACAGATTAGTCGGCTCTCACTCTCAAAGGCGGGCAACGAGATATTGTTTGAAGCCGGTCTTCAGCCTTTCTTCATGCCGCCAGAAAAGTCCCAACTTTGCACACAAGCCATGAAAGCGATAACAGTTGACCCGATTCCCAGAAACATACACCCAACCCACAATGAAGGACGAAGAAAAGCGAGAGCCAAGGCAATACTCGCCAAGATCATGTGCAACGATACGCAGGTCCTCTTCGTTGATGCCGCAAATATTGGAATCGAGGTGCCTATGCAGTCTCTGTGGTGGACGCCCACGGCTCGCTCGTCAACGCAGCCACGGTAGTTACCAACTTCACCCACGAAGCAGAGGAAATGGCCATTGCGCTAGCCCTTCGAAGCTGCACTGAAGCCTCTGTCATTTACTCGGACTCTAGAACAGCTATAAGAACTTTTTCGGCGGCCCTAGTCTCTTCGAAGGCAGCTGCGGTCGTTAACAGGCTTTTCAACCACGAGACGAAGGAGGAAAACTTTCGGTCTACACACATCGCATGGTTCCCAGCCCACATGGGAAACATTTCCGGCTTTGCTGGCAACCCAAACGAGCGGGCACACACACTGGCGCGAGAGCTCACTTTCCGCGTCAGTGGTTCGCCCCCTCGCTTAAATGCAGCCTGCAGGAACCTCGATTACAAAGACCCACTTGTATCATATCACGAACTCACCTCACATCATAGATTAGAACGTCGAACTTTTCCTCCTCCTCACAGAGATCTGAACAGAGCACAAGCAATCACTTACAGACAATTGCAGACACGTACATACATCACACCAACGACACTAAGCAGGATTAATCCGGACTTTTCCACTGCATGTCCACACTGTGGAAACGAGTATAACAATTTCGACCACATGCTCTGGTTGTGCCCTGCCAACGTGGGTACAGAATTTTCTGACCAGTCCTCCTGGGACTCCGCCCTTCGAAGCACAGAGCTCATCGCCCAGCTCAAGGCTGTCCAGAGGGCCCGGGCCGTCGCCGAGAGACTCTGTCTACCGGTCCCGACCTGGGTGGAGCCGCCGGATTGATGGCGGGGCTTTCGGCACCGCTTTCTTTCCTCTCAGGACCTTAATAAAGTTCATACTCACTCACTCAGTGTTTCTATTTAGCATTGTGGCAGGTGGAGAGGGTAAAGCGAGAGAGAAAAAACTGCGTTGAGAGCGGGTGGAGGAGACACACCTTAGGTGTGTTGGGAAGAGCCGGCAGCTGCTGCGGATGAGAGAGTGATGTCAACGCGCAGCTGCGACTTGACCTACTTGGCATCGTTCCAAGAACTGCGGCGGGTTGGGGGATGTGGTGTGGCACGTTGACGCGGAGACACGCCGTGGGTCTGTCCCAATTTCGGTAGCAGGGAAAAAGCACGTTTGCTGCACGAAGATTTCTGAAGAGGGCGCGGAAGGACAAAGAAAAAGAAAATTATGTTATCCTTCGACTCGACTGAATCGATAGCACGATTGTTTTTGCGATTTTAATTTTTTGTTTATATATGTTATGTATTTACAAAGAGCAATTTTTCTCGTTATTTGAGGTGTTTCATCCCCATATTTTTTCTTTGTCATTTCCAGGAAAATATTTTTCACACCTGCATATTCACATGCGAAGCAGACGAAAGAGTTGCTTTGCGCAATAATGAGTCTTGCGTGGTAAGTATGGCTTAAGCGTTGTTCCTTGTTAAATGTTATGTCACATCTATTGTATGAGTAGCTGTCTTGACCACTTGGGGAAATCTTCGTGTATCGAAGCAAAGACTATCCCACTGCATGAACTTTCATTTGTTGTGCAGACTTAAGTACACTTGCATTACATTGAATGACCACCTTAAATATGAGACAAACATTTTTTACATCGAAAATATAACTTTTACTGTTTGAACCGCGAATATGTCACACTTACATCCTTTCGAAATTTTCCACATCTTAATTGTAACTTTCAGCTTCCGCCGGCATTTGGTTCTACTAAAAACCAAGTCGAAGGAATTTCACCTTCTGTGAAGATAGGAGTTTGTGATAACGGAAAATGTGTTCCACGGGACAGCAAGATGCCACCGCAAAAGCGTAAGATTCATTCATCTAGTTATTGTACCCCATAACACTTTTACATAATCAATAAACAGCGTAAACTGCACTTTTGTAACCTCGTTCGTCTCTTAATTGTACGCATAGGTCAAGTGCAACTCAGTTGTTAGAAAGGTTCGAAACATCATTTAACATAGAGTGACATATTTTGTGTCATTCCCACTTTTATGTTTTTCAAGCTTGTTTCCTTTGTTACGATGGAAGTGGTAGATAGCACTGCTACAAATCTAGAAACCTCTGCTAAAGATGAATTCTATATAAACAGAAATATTGAAATCGCAAACGTTAACACTTCATAATAGTCGTAAAAGCTAATATGCATCACTTACACCAATGTCATTAGGTAAATAGCGCAAACATACCCACAATATTGTAAGTATACTGTCGTGCGCCTTTACCAGAAAACAATATTCAAGAATTAAGCTGATACCTATGTCGCTAAGAACCTTAAACTAATCATCAAGTAATAATTCTTAATTTTAGTTCAATTTAGATTTTATTAAAGGCAGAATTATTGATGGTGCCTAAAGACAATATAGGCGACCTTCGCTTGGCATATAGTTTCATGTTTTGGGCGGTAATTTCTGTTACACGAATTGAATATGAACGTCCAAATATTGCGATTCATTCACGTGCACACACACACGCAACACAGGCAATAGACTGTTCGAAATGCCAAACAAAACATTGCGGGATATTAGGAAAATCAAAGCTCATAATTTCTGTACTTTGTAATTTATAGTCAGTGTTTGCATGAAGCTGTATGTTGTAATTTATTACTTTATCAATTCTGTTCGTCTACAAAAAAAAAAGACCGTAGTGGGAAGACCCAATAATTCGTCCTCACTGGTGAGAATTCAAATGTTATCGCTCCAGGTGCCGATGTCTATAAACAAAAGCCTTGTAAAAGGGAAGTCTATATATGCCTTGTAAATGCAGCTAATTCCCTCATACAATTCTTTCCCAAGCCTGATGTCCTTTTTATTTTTTCTCTGTTTTGTTTTTCAGCAATACCTGGTCCACCAATTGACAATAACCCTGACTGTAATCACATGGACGATGACATTGTAAGTTACAATTTACACTTATTCTTTTTCGACTCGTCGAATATTTCACGTATTTTTAGACATTGCTAGCTCACACTTAAAAGACATTCACAATAGGTTTTCTCCACAAGCTTATGGTACAGATCTTCAGGGAGCGAATGTAGCCGTCATCATCGAGTGCCTCAACACATAAAGTTAATGATTATATCGCGTTGTATTAGCGAAGCTGTCATTACGAAAGTACTGGTGCTTGTACTGCAGCTGTGTGCATTGATGTCGTCTTGTGATGGCCCCCTGGCCTCGAAAAGTTGATTGCTTACAGCTTCCTTGCCGGGACTGTTTTGAACACTTGCATGTAAGATATTTTGGGGACTCAGAAGCACGCCATGCTCGCGAAACGAAAGTAGACAATCTCGCCAAAGAACAATGAAGACGTGTACATTTATAAATCTGCTCTCACATCCTGGCCAGCTCGCCAGCCGAATCTAATACGCCACTGGTGAGACGCTAAGTAACCTTGTATAACGTGTCAATACTATACAACAACAACGTACCCTACAAGAACAGCATAACGCATGTGCAAGGCACCGCGAATACGGCGTCGCCTACGTTCGATTCACCACGAGTAGTCCATGAAGAATGGCCCACGATGTTGCGCCCATGCCCTCCGCACTCCGTTGCGAGGGTGAACACGCGGCTACACAGAGTTACCTCCTTTTCTCTGCACGACAGCGCACCCAGGTCTTTAAGGTGGTTCTTCGCTTCCTTGAGGACCCTGAACTGGGCAAGAAGCAGTAAAAGCCGCCGGCCACGTTCTCGGTCATGGACGCCCTTTCTGTTCTCCTCTCTTATCCACATCTTTAATGTTCTCTCTTCATTTCCCTACAGGCGCTGAGCCATGCTTAGAACTAGGGTCTCTTCCTTTCCTCAACCTCTCCTCTTCCTTCTCATGGACTCACCTTAGGAGAGGTCCGTCCACGCAAGCTGCAAACGCCAAATAAGCTTATTAAGCTCGCTGCCGTTTTCTGTGCGGCTACTTAACATCGTCGCCAGGTGGTGCTTCTGGCGCCTCCGAGCTAACCCTCCACCACGCGACTACCACACCGCCTTACGCTCGACGGCTGTTGAATCCAACGGTGACTTATCAGCGAGACGCGCGTGCACCAGGAGGTGCACATGGCTTTACATGGGGTAATAGCAACCCCGCATTATCTAAATAAATCTTGACGTTACTCAACTTCAATGACGCAACCCTAATCGGCTTCTGCATGTAAAGCACTTCTCGAATCCGGTAGTGTTTTACACGGGTACTGCGGTTACACACTGAAAAATCTCGCGAACACTTGTAAGGCACGGCTGGTTTTTACTTCCCTAACTGCGCACACTGTGAATGGGAGAATAGTTTCACGGTTTTACATATCCATTTTTTTTTCATTTCTCGTTTCATTATTTAGAATTTGATTTTTAGCACTGTAAATTTTGTTGATTGTACAGCATGCTAGAAACAGTCACTAATATTGGCGATAACTTTATTGACATCTTCAAAAGAGTAATGCATAAATGCTTAGTTATCCGACAGTTGCTTCATATGATGGAAATCACTTAGAAGATGAGAAACCGTCAGGTCTGTTTTTAACGACACACAAGGATTCAAAAGCTGATATTTTTATTTCTCTACCATGATAGAAACTCTTTTGAAGTCGATTCCCGAAGGACCATCGACCTCAATGTATGTCATTCTGCCTTCCTAACCCAATTCGAGCCCACGTCTTCCTGGTTTATTGCCTAGACAAACAGCTAAACTAAGTTTCTTTTCAGAAGAAATCAAAAGTTATTGGTTTGTTGAGATTACTTAGAAAAAACAGTGATCTACAGCAGCTCCTCCTTTGGTTTTCCACATTTTCCTTCAAGACCTACCGAGCTCAATATTAAGGTGATGCCTGTATATTGTTTGCAGGAATATGTTTACCAGAACTGCACGTTTGTGTGTGAAGAAGATCAAGAATCCTACCTGAACAACATGGAGAAATGCGTTGTAAGTATGCTGAAGTTCCGGTGGACTCATGTATATTTGCGACCATGTTATTGTGAAGGTCCTTATTTCCTGATAATTTCTGGAATGCAACCACGCTAACTGATATCACTTTAACCAGGATTGAATAAATTTTGTTTAATGGCAGGCAGCATCTACTGGACCAGCTAAACAAGAAACAAAGCTAGCGACAAAAAAAGCGGCGTCACGTACTTTATTGTAGTAGACGAGCTTTCTTATAGTTTATCTATTTGTCCCATTTGTGCGATCTCTACACCAAGTGCCGTTGTTAAATTTCCCGCGTTCAGCATGAACGAAGGAAACGACGAGCTTGGCGCCAACATGCCAGAGAGCTGGTGAGCTTTGGGAAAAGACGACGAGAAGTAATGTTTTACTTTCTGGGCGCATGCGGACTCTAATAAACGTCTGTCGGAGTTATTAGGTCCATGTCGGCTGTTCAGTTAGCCACATATTTTACAAATTTGGTGCCGAAACCCGACTATTTATTGACTGCCTTTGTTCTTTCACTATATCTTTTCCCACGAGAAGGCTGTAAAATCTGGCATTCTTTCGTTCAACGTGCGTACCAAATGCTTGCAAGCACTTGACGTATAACATCCAGTACCTACAAAGTAACGTGATATGCCTGAAGTTCTGCGTTTACTACTATCGAACGGAGCAGTCTAGCTTAGACTCACGTCTTTTTTTTCATGTTCTCTTCTTTCTATCTCTCTCTTTTCATCCCTCGATCCCCTCCCCCAGTGTAGGATAACGAACCAGACGCTCGTCTGGTTAACCGTCCTGTTTATTTTTATCACACATATTTGTGTTCACAATAAAAATTTACACCTGCTGCACATTTTTTCTGTTTTCGTGCTCAAAGCTTCAAGGACGTTCTCAAGTCACCATTCCAACTTCGTCACAAACAATGTCGGCTGCCTTTGCTACGGGAGTCTGCAAAGAGGGACAGTGCGTATCCAAAGATGCGGTTCTACCTCCAAACCGTAAGTTCAACTATAGTTTGTTTTGCATCTGAAAGCAGATGAAACATATACCAGTTTTTCCGGCTAAACTATTGAAATAAAACAAGTTTCACGATAGTTACCTAACGATATCAATGCGTGGAGTTCTCAAAATGAACCGAACCATGCCTTCTTATGTCGTCCGGATAGACGATACAGATGATTTTCTTTGCCTTTACGAATACCTATTGCAACATGTCGCATGTGGAGTGATAATCTGGTTGCTCTTTGCGACATGAAACGATCTTTTGTAGGCCATTGCACACACTGTAGTTTGCTTCCTGAAATCAATAACCATTCTAACAAATATTGCTGGATGTACTTTCGCTCTTCAATACTGACCACTTATCAAATTTATTGGGTTCTCTCACGTTTTTAATGAAGATTAGGGATACCTCTGTCGGTATTTCCTTACAGTTTCCTTCACACCACGTTCGCGTGGCTCTTCGGCATCTATTAGGACCTCCATAGCATAACAATTCACACGCAAACATCACAATTTGAAAGTAACTTGAATAAGCAACGTATTGCCGATGTATCAATTTTGTATTTTCACCTTTATAGGAAGTTTACGACAAAGAGAGGTGCTTTACGTCTACTGTCACCACCTGCTCAAGCAGCAGATAATAATGGCACTGTGGCTTTTAGGAGATGGCGTCTAGAGTATTTGTATTTTTGTTAACATTTCCCTTAGGTTTTGGAATGTAAAACGCCACATATAATTAATAATATTATCCTTCGATGGTATTATATCCGCAGAATTAGAGTTACGTGTATTTATGTCGTGCTTTTCGACATTGAGAAGCCGATAAATGCGGCATGCTTATCTTCCAGTAGAGCCTTCCAATATATGGCCACGGGTGTGGAAATATATTGTGGAGCAGCTGAAATGACCTCTAATGAAAGAAGACGACGGCATTAATGTTGTGGGGCTAGGCCTGGGTTGCCCTGTTGTCTGTGATTCTGTGCACCCCAAGCACTGTGATCCCACTCTCCTACAGACGCACGACCCGTAAATAAATACTCCCCGTAACAATATGTAACAGCTATTTTATAATAAATTAGACAAGCGAACATTTAATTTCACTTATGTAACTAACAGGCTAGAGTCAATCCAGAATAGAGCCGCAAGATTCATTTCCGAATACTACGATCATAGCGCAAGCATAACAAAAATTAAAAAGAACTTATCAGTTTTTCTTTTGAGCAGCCAGCGTGATGTGAACCTCCTTTCATTATTTCATCAATACGTACACGAATAAAGGTCATTACCTATGACGTTGCAAACATCTGCATTCACATGAAAGAGACAGAATAATCAACTTTAATTTACACACGTCTACGGTAAAACAAACATTTTTAGCTTATCTGTACTCTCCCGCGTCTTCAGCATGTGGAGCGGCCTTCCAGATGAAATGGTACGTGAACGCAATCTAGAAAAATTCCGGCACCTTCGAATGACCCATTTCTAAAATAAGTGCTTGGTTTATTCTTATTTCGTTCGGAACCTACGCGTTTATTGACTGCAAGTTTCTCAAGGCATTTTCGTTTCTTCTATCATTTATTTCCTTATTTAATTTTTTTAGATTGATTGAAAGCTAACATGCCATTCAATTCAGTTGTGTAATCTTGAACAATCTTTTATTTTGAAAAATGGAAAGTTTCTCACAAATTTTGTTTTACTTTTTATAACTTGTTTTACGTCATTACCTCACATGTATAATTATGTGCTTTTCATTGCCGTTGTATTCTTATTCAACTTATTTTTTTCATCATTGTCGATGTTAGGAGTTGTATAATCGTCGACAGTTTTTTTAAAGTTATTGTTTTTATGAACGTTATGTAAATCCGTGTATCTATTTTTTATGCTCCTTTTGCACAATGCCCTGTTGGGTCTGCAAGGTATTTTGAATAAATAAATAAATAAATAAATAAATAAATAAAATTGCACTTCTTATGTTTCATTTTTTGAAACAACTAGAGGGAGGGCCAAAACCACCCCGAAGAAGTCGTGAATGTCAAGCTTGGAGGAATCGGCGTGTGGTATGTGTTTATGGGCACGTCAACAGCTTCTTCTTTATTTATGTACTTGTTTAGAATATTTCAAAAGCTCCAACGAGGGGTTTTTGCATCAGAGTGGGAATAATACAAAGTATGAAATGCGCAGCCTGTACCTCTCGTGTGAATAATTAAAGGTGCTTCAGCATTTATTAGGCTCTCTGCCAATCGATAAGTTTTTCTGCCTTAGCTACAAGCCACATGCTATTTCGCAAATTGTTCACTCTTCTAGTTACAACAATCCCTTCCAATTTTACCATTTTCGTACCGATGTCATTATTAACTCAAAAGAAAAAAAAATATATACTAAACTAGCTGTGAATGTGCATTGCTGCCTGACGGGGGATACAGCAAATATTGAGAGTGACGTTTCAGGTTTATTTCTTTTTCCTGTACGTAGGAAAAGACGAAGCAAAAATAAAAGGCTGTAAAGCCTGATGGAGGCTTTTGCTCCGAAATACAGTGTGGTACACAACTTAGATGCAGATAAAAAACAACTTTTTACACAAAGACTAACAATCAGCCAATTATATTCAGACAAATAAACGCTACAACGTGAAAAAGAAGACAACAGCATGCATAACAAATGACAAAATACAAATAAAGAAAAACATCATTATCCCAATATGTAAAATAGGTGAGATCATAAACACATTTGCAGGCATATACATTCCAAAAGCAAACAAGGGCATAGAAACTATACAGTTAACAATTAGTACACAAAAAGTAATAACTAATTGAAATAGTATATTGAACATATTCAAAGCAGTTATGATAGAGAATTTCCTTGAAGGTATTTTTGGTATTTTTTTTTGGGTCAACAACATTTTCAAGTTTGTTGAGGAGACTGGGCATTTGATAGTATGTTGCTGACCATATGTGATCCTTGTTCTCGGTGTTCTTAAGCCAGGTTTATGAAGAGAATGCACAACACACCGAGAAGAATCAAACATAGGGTATAGTTTGTTATTTTTTATGTACAAAAGTATCTTGTAGTAAAATATTTGGTTTGCTTGCGACAGATCTTCAATTCAAGTTGGGCGCGCTTGTATGTTGCGAATACATTAGTGATGATTTGACTTTTGTTGGAAGTTTCTAATGATTTAACTGCCCCGCCGCGGTGGTCTAGTGGCTAAGGTACTCGGCTGCTGACCCGCAGGGCGCGGGTTCGAATCCCGGCTGCGGCGGCTGCATTTCCGATGGAGGCGGAAATGTTGTAGGCCCGTGTGCTCAGATTTGGGTGCACGGTAAAGAACCCCAGGTGGTCTAAATTTCCGGAGCCCTCCACTACGGCGTCTCTCATAATCATATAGTGGTTTTGGGACGTTAAACCCCACATATCAATCAATCTAATGATTTAACTCAAATTAGGAACAAGTGGGAATGTCTTAGGTGCGCGCAAAAGACCAGATCGCACATAATTTCACTTGCTAGGCTTCAGTAGTAAATAAAGTAACCAGCAAAGATATTTATATATCTGTAAGAGGGCAAAAATCGATACTTTATGTCGTATAACTTTCAAATAATTCGTCCAGTGTACGCGCATGATACACCTAATAATAATAATGACTCGCAAAAAAGTTACCTGTGTGTAATGATGATTGCAGAAGGTGACCATGCAATTCAATATAATTTCCTTAATATAAATAGAAAGAATTGAAACTTCTGAATGCATGCATGCATGCATTTGATTACATGAAAGCCCACAACCTTCGTTTGATAAAATTAACTATTTTGTCTGAAAGCATGCACTGTAAATAGTGATTATATCAGTGACTTCATCTGGGCTAGGCAGCAGACACCCTATATCCTTGAGTAACCGAGGAAAGTAGGACTGGAACTTGTTCTACATTATGAATTGTAGCAATATTTATTGCAGGGTTAGCCGTAAATGGGCCAGTGAGCTAAGGGTTGTCCGTTGGATTCAGGTTACTTCACAAGACCTCGTTTGACCACATTTTTTTAGTATGAGAGCTTATTGCAGAAGTAAAAGCCTACCGAAAATAAACACCATATATTCCCGCTGAAAATACATCTTGACTGTGCGACATTCCGCACGTAAATCCAATGCACGTGATTTCGTTTGAAACCAAATATTCATTACTGCCCTAGCGTTTTAGACAAGTGAAAAAATACGCAAAGGTAAAGTCTTCTTTGAAGAAAAATACCTTTGGTATTTGTAACTTCGGTAAAGATTCGTTAAGCGGTCAAATTTTTATTTCAGAATTACTGGTATCGGAAATGTACGTTTTCTTGCGAGGGTGATGAAATGGTGTACTTAAAGGGAGGTGAAAAGTGCATGGTGAGTAAATGAGACGGCATGTTTCTTTTTTACTTCTGTACGATTATAATATATTGCGTAATGTGCCATAAAAAGCCAAGCTTTTCGTACTTCAGAAGCCTTTTTTTGCCGAAATGTCAAAATACTTTTAACTGGGTTCTCTTATGTGACTGGGGCTCTGCTCATAAAAATGCTGTATACAGCCAAGATTAGTGTAGTAGGTCACGGTGGGTTATGAAGATGTTGCCGTTGTTGTCTGTGGTGTCAAATAAACAAACATAATATCCATTGCTTTAGCTCATCTAGTACAAATGTGTTATCGCAAAGCAGGCCGAGCTATGTCGCAAGTGTTAGTTGAAGGATAATGAACTAAATTCCCAAGTAATCACCAAACGACTTCAGTATCGGAGTTCTTTTTTCTCACGAATCGATTGACCCAAAACTTTCTCATACCTTGTTATAGCGCAGTTCAGAAATTATTGTCAGGCTATAACAAGCGTCAGCTTGTCTAAAAAGCAGCATTTTGGCACTGCTGTTCAGAACAACCTCTCTTGGCAGTGGCCGTTCATGAACGCGCAAATCATTTGACAATAAGCAATGAAATATTACCTGATGAACAAATTTAGCGATCGAAAGTGACTTATCTGTACATGTACTAGAAGCTTACTTTATTATTCTGAAAGAAATTTTGAAACCTGTCACACGTTGCGTAGGTTTCCCAGGTATGTGTAAACAGATCAAGTCATAATAGCGTTGCGTAATGTCTCGAAATAACTAAACGTCTTAGAACGCACGTTGGGGCTTGATATGAGAAATTTACCTAATTATTTTCTTGGTTATGAGTTGTATGCAACGTTAGTGTCGAATTCTATTAGGTGCTTTGTCCTAAATTATGTTTAGTTTTTATTTTTTTGCAATTTCTAATTTGTTGCCGCGGGTTGCGCTTATGGAATGATGGTGTAATGCGAACGCAACCCGATACATTGGCAATCTCGTAAATAAGTGATAAAGGTCTTACCCTTGAACACCATTTTACAGAAGTGCAGTTATCGCGTTCATATCATGGTACACTTTGTTGCTACAGCGGCTATCAATTTATTATTTTTATTAATGAATTACAGCTTCCCAAGGGGCAGACTTCGAATTCTGCAAAGAAGGATAGACGCACTCGAAGAAAAGGAATCTGCAAAAATGGAATATGTGTTCTTAGAAACAAGAAAGTGCCACCGCATAAAGGTGTGAATGACTACAAGTCCCTACTTTTTACGTATTGTTGTGTCTGTGTTTCGTTAGGGCTAACCAAGATCAAATAGTACAAGGGAATCGACGTGAGCACGTGAAAGCAATGCATTATCTTCAAAGAAGGCTAGACTATCCCAAGCATGTATAATAAGCTCTACAGCCCCTGACTACTAAATATATTGTCACAGGTAAATGAGTATGAACCATCAACTGTAGCGTAATTTTGCTTGGAAGTGGAGAAAAAAGAGGACATTGCTACATGGTCTGGGTGCGGGCAAGACCTCGATTCGTGGCTGTCTCTGTTATTTTGTTCGTGGCAATATTCCCACCACAGTAATAGAAATTGCATCGCTCTAATAGAGGCTTGAATGCCCTAAAAGTTTACAATATGTATTTTTTCTAAAATATGTCCAGCTGTTCTCTCCTGGTTTTACACACACCATCTTGCAATAGTTAACGAAATTGGGGTGTGGGCAATTTCTAAAGCGGTGAAGTTAGTATCTCAGGCTCGGAAACTGAAGGAGGCATTTTATATTTCAACAATAGGAGACACCTGTGTTAGCCAAACATCGACTTCTTCATTTTACTGTAAAATGAGGTACCTGCGTGAAATGTTGTAATTTGCCGACCTTGACAACACGATTATTCTGGCTACTACGTGGGTAAATGCGTATACATTGATCTATGTCTTCTGAGTCCTTACGTAGTTTGTGCACAACCATTTGTTCCTTTCAACTATTCTACTGAGCTTGGTTCGAAAGCTTGCTGATACGAAAGCACTTAATTATACCTAGTGGAGAAGCCAGAAACTTCCTTGCCCTAAACAGACTAAAGTAATTAGTGCTACTCAATAAACTTTCCCCCCTATATCACGATAACACACGTTGACAGTGAGCGAATCATTTGCGAAAGGTCCTTTCCGGATGCTTAAGGGCAAATCAGTGAAAACCCAAAGTTACAAAAACAAAAACACGATTTCTTTCTTACAGTCCGATTGTTATTATGCATATATCATTCATATTCTTCCACTGGTTTCGTATTTTACATCTGATAAGAGACGTATCTTATCTCACGACAAGCACTCGCCATTATGAATAGTTAGAAATTATGACTAGTTGCCATTATGAATTCTCACACGCAGAAAATCTACCAACAGGAGCACTGCTGTTGCATCGATTAAAAAGCAAAGTGAATTAAAAGTAGTTACCTGCTCATTGTCTTTTTTTAAAATATTAACCAAATGTCACCTTGATTTTCTTTAGCCTAGTAACAAGAGTTTTCTGAATCCAACCTAAGTATTATAAAGCGCGCAGCCAACATGTCCATTGTATACCTGCATCATAACAACCTGCGTACAAACTCACGTAACAAAGTAAATGACGCCACTTGTGCTAATGTTCTTAACATTCTTATAGTGCGCGTTATAAGTTTGAGTTGCACGATTAAGCTAATGTTTTGACTAAACATTAGTTATAACTATGAATGAGCTTCAAGACACAACAGTTCAAATATCTCTTTTTTCTTTGCAGCTTCCTAATGACCAAGTTAAAGCATCTGTTCTCGCTTCCTCTCAGCAAGAGCTGCCTACAAGTGTCTGCGTACTGGGAAAGTGTTTTGCTAACCATACAACGAAAATGATTCGATAGGATACATAGAAGAAAATATGTGGCTTTCTACCTTTCATGTAATAAATAATTTGTAGCCTGTCTACAATAATGTATTTACCTTACAGCCAGACACTTGACATTTACTTCTTAGTTATTTACTACTCAAATATTCAACAAAATATCAAGCGTCATTTGCAAGTAAATTCTTTTTTTTTTTGTCCTTTTGTCTCAGTTTGCTTGGCCATTCTTTACCGTTAGTTCTATACCAATTCAACTATATACGACAAACCAACTCTCCCAATCTTCAACACTTATAGGGGCCCCACCTTGCGCTTCTCTTATTAACCATCTGTACCGAGTTCTTGGGTATTGAATGAGAGCTGACGTTCTACGGTGATGATCATTTCGTATCTACGACACAGGGCAAACATCGACAGTAGCAGTGGTGCTGTAAATTTTCTGAACAACTTTCACAAAATACTTCGTGCAATCAGTTTAATTGAAAAAATGACGAAAAGACCTTAAAATAAATATATATTACGAGCAGGCATAGGATGCCACACGCTGTGATATCGAACAAGAATGTCGCTTGCTGCAGCCAAACTGAAACTAGGTTAACGACGACTATTCCCCCCCCCCCCCCCCCGTCACACACACCCAGAGCCATGTAGACAAGATGGTGCATAGATTTTACCAAACCCGAGTCACACTTCAGTATAGCTAGCTGATCAATTTTTTTTTTACCTTAGCAGCAGCAATGTCTCCTCATGTGCTTCTTGGCAGAGTCTATAGGTAACCAGAAGATGGTTTGGCTGGCTTATAAAGATTTCCCGCTAAAGAAAAAGTTTCGAATTGTTCAATGAATCTCACACTTTGGAGAATAAACGATGTTGCCTTATCTTTGTTTGCATCCCACGAAACACGAGAACGCACACACACACACAAACACCTACACACACGCGCGCGCGCACACACACACAGATATATATATATATATATATATATATATATATATATATATATATATATATATAGTTAACAGACAATAATGCCAAGGCAAATATTGGGAAGTTATTAAACCGAATTGTAATGTAAATCTGAAGAACGAAAAGTGGGTGAAAAGATAACTTGCCGAAAGCACGAACCGAATCTGCAACCTTTGAATAACGCGTTCGATGCTCTACCACTAAGCTACCACGGCGGCTATACTCCCAGTCACTTTATAAGATATATACGTGAATTTAAACGTGGGAGTGTCAGTGAGCGCCCTGAGTAGCCATGGCGGCGAGTGTGGCACACTCTTTATGGGTCTGTGTGGCATCACGTAGCACGTGAGCGTATTACGAGATGGTCTCTCGTAATACGTTCACGTGTTACGTGATGCCACACAGGTTCATAAAGAGAGTGCCACACTCGCCGCCATGGCTACTGTATACGAGGGACTATTGGTCAGCTGCCAGTTAAGGAAAACACCAACACTAGATGGTGTACGAGGCTACTTCACGGTGAAATGACAGGCCGAGCCATCATAGAGGCAAGACAGGCCTTTTGAGATGCGATATCGTACCAGCCCATGTCCCTTCTTTTAGCATTATTCACAATAAAGATGGAATGTTGAGTTTATCGCGGTGCATGACGCGATAAGGACGCAAAATAACGTGTAATACTTCTACACTCATAGGGTATTACTTAGTATGTAGTAGTCAAACATATACACGATTAAGCTAGACAGAGACAGCCAAGAGGAAAAACACGCTGCGTGTGTACTGGCAGCGGGATACAGGAGGGGGGAGAGATGGGTAATGACAAAAATAAGATTGCGTTGACGTAGAGAGATACCTTGTATTTATTCGTCATGCACAAATTCAAAAATTCTTTTGTTCATCATATGCGTACAAAATAGCCGCGACAGCAGCAACAACAAAAACAAGCCGAAGGAATACATTATCATGGATGCTTCGGATAAGTCCCATTTGTACAGGCTCAAAAGTACAGGTTGTTGGGTTGGTCGGTTCAAGTTCTACAAATATGCCCCATTATAGCTGTTGTTCGCAAAGAAATGGAGTTATTGGGAGAGGGGACCCTGCGACCACTTCTTTGTTAATTCATTTGCGCAATACGGTTATGTTTTTTGTGGCTCAGGTTAACTTTTATTTTTTATGCTCGAAAAATCTGCAAAGAATAGCGTCTTACGTAGGGTAAAGTGTCCGCCCTTTAGCTTTAAATGTCGTACTGTTGCGTTTACACGCGCTGCAAATGGTTCGGCCTCGTTGCTTAGAAGCCTGAAATGTTTTGAATAGCAGTGATGCCAAGCCTCGACAAGGTGTTAATCATGCGTAAACACACCTGCTTTGTGCTTCTTCTTCAACAATTCTTTTTTTCGACAATCACGCGACATATGCTCTTATTTCCGGAGGTTATTTATTCCGCTGCTGTAATTCTGCTTCGCAAGATGCTCGTACGGCACAGGGCCCACAAACGAGCTTTCTGGAAGCATTGCAAAATGCGCTCGGTTGTGATACTCACGTTGTATTCGCCACCTTTTGCTATATGTAAGTATGAAGGATCTCTCTGCAAAGTTTTGATATCTTAAAAAATGTCGTGCGAGATGTCTGAACAAAACTTATCGCCGGCACATTCCGCGAGATCAAAACTATTGAGGCGAACGTCGTGAGAAACTTATCAATACGTGTCTCAGCTGAAGAAATGCCAGTTGTTGCGAACATTTTCGAAGTGTCAATAAGTTTTCGTGTCCAGACAAGAATCCAGTCGCCACGTCTAATTTCCTGAATTCTTCAATTACTTTACATTCACCATGCTGTCATATCTGTCTAGTTAAGCGAAATGCCGCAAGAGTTATGTAAACTTTGCAGAAAGCATTATCCTGATACCATGTTGCCCATAAAAATCTATGTTGCGGGCACGGACGGTGGAAAATATTTTTCACATCAGTTCGCTCAGCCCAGCAAATGATGAACTAATATATTCTACACATTAGTACTGCTCGTACCTAGGCACAAAACAGCGAATGTTTTGTTTTATTTAGTTCATACATTAGTCGCAGTGCTGGATCAAGGGCTGACGTGTTCAAATAAAATGATTGTGAGAGCTATAACTGAAGTGTCTCACGAACACTAAAATTACATCTAGAAAAAGTATTGGTAGACAGGAACAATTCGTGGTTACATTTAAAGGGCCAAACCGCTGACACGCTTCTTGCTATGACGAAGCACTTGTCTCTGGCATTGGCAGGCACTGTTAACCTGCAAGGGGCTCCGGAAAGTAGCGATCCTAACTGCAAAAAACTAGAAGATGCCGTAAGTATGCCCTTTGTTGTTGAATTTCGTTTAATAAGAACGATAGCAAGCAGGTGACGCAGTCATCGGGCTTTTACGGTGACTGTAATAAACTGCTACTAGTTGTGGTTCTGCGCACAGTGGTCTAGCTTTCTCAACGCGGCGGCACTTTGGGGCATTCGAACATGTGAAGCATATTGAGCACTTATGGTAGTAAGCTCACGACGTGTAATTGAAAAGAAAGTAAGGTGTGCATACGCTCACACGAGAGAAGCTATGGCACAAATTTGCGTGACAAAATTCCGTGATCCTTAATCTAAGACCATCCAAGTCGACCCGTTTACTTTGTGACAGTTCACACTTTTATGACTTTCTGAGCATGCGCGGTACTTAGTGCTATGAGTGCAAGCGTATTACTTTACCTCTTTTCTGTTCTCTATTCTTTTCCTTCCTTTCCCCCCTTACGTCATGCCGTGTAGCAAACCGAGTTCAACTTGGTTAACCTTCTTGCCTTCCTTTTGCTTTTTCTTTCCTCTCTTCTTGGTATTCTGTATAAATCTCAAGTTGTCGCCAACAATCAACGTCTAGTTTAGCAGAAATCATTGGATCCTGACATGTCAATGATTTAAAAAGCGACCAAATGTGTCAACTTCTATTAGAAGGGCATCATACCAAGCTTCCGACGAGATGGTCAGAATTCCATTTGATTGATATGTCGGGTTTAACGTCTCAAAACCACCATATGATTATGAGAGACACCGTAAAGAGGGCTCCAGAAATTTCGACCATTTGAGATTCTTTAACATGCATCCAAATCTGAGCACACGGGCCTACAGCATTTTCACCTCCATCGAAAGTTCAGCCGCTGCAGCCGGGATTCAATCCCACGACTTGTGGTTAAACAGCCGAGTACCTTAGCCACCAGACCGTCGTGGTGGGGCCATGGCCAGCATTCTGCCCATCCGTAACCCACTCACAAAAATTCAATTCGAAAGAATGTTTACATGAGTCGGTGAAGAGAAAAATAGGTACATAATACACTATCGATAAGCATATATAGGACGTCAAAAAATTCAGCTGGTTGGTAAGTTTCCCCTGCGTTGTGTCTACGTCGGCTCCCCTTCTTTACGGCAAATCTGTATTGATTGACCAAATTTTTTGTTGATCTACAATGTCCGGATGCACTGCTATGAGGTCCTAATGAACTAAATTTCCCATAAATCATAAATTCTCAATGTTATCTGTAGCGCCACGCTATAGATTTGGCCAGGTGGTGCTATGCATTGACGCGGAACCAGGACGACTAAGTACTAAAATTTAAAGGGCGCGGTGGCGTCTCCAACAGCGCACATGGCGCCGACATGGCTGTTGGCAAGGAGCAGTGGGCTTTTAGTTCTGGCACGGACGTAGCCGTCGCCAGAACGTAGCCAACACTCAGGTCGCTGGAACACCGACCTGAGCGTTGCAGTGTGGCTGACATGCCGGCGCGAATGACCGAGTCGACGGGCGTGGAAACGCCGTGGTCGAAGGGCCATCTAAAGGAGGGCACGTGATCGGTCAGTGCGTCAGACTGAGGTGGATGACGCTTGATACGTGTCAAAGGGAATGCGTGCATTCCAGTTACACGCTTGCTGGTTCGCGTCCCTCGTCGAGATCATGCCCGGAGGCATATCACGTGACCGAGCAAACGCGCATTCTGGAGGAGGGTCTGTCGGTGTCCCAGGAGTCGTAAAAGCCCCTTCGGTAGTCGGTGCACGAGGGCTCATGTACAGGCCGACGTGGCAGATGGCTGCCTCTGTGGCAGGCGTGAAGTGAGTGATGCGCTCTGCCCTAGGCGGAGTGGGCACGTCGTACGTTCGCGCGTCGGTCAAGGTGGCAACATCCCGCACATTCGGTCGTGTCTGGCGGGGGGCACGAGCTTCCGCTCGTGCCTCCCGCCAAGAACTGGATCGGTCCAAGGACTGGATCGTTCAGATATACAGCTTTCGGAAGCACCGAAAGTCCATTCGTCGAGACAACTAAAGTATAAGAGGTGGATTTTATAGGCTGCAATCAAAGACGTAGCCAAGATTATGTGAGGGGCTATGGCTATGCCAGTGAGTCAATTAAAAATTTCTGAAGTGGCTGCCCTCCATCTTATACAGCATATATATGCTTATACAATGCCAAGGGGACTGTTTTATTTTTCACCGATATGACGCACAGTTACACCGCAGATAACTGCACATGTTTACGAAGTGCAAAACGTGGCAAAAAGATGTCGAACGCATCAGCAGCCTGATATTCCACTATATTTTTAGTATTGTGTTTGCATGTGCAGTTGCCATTTGTCGGTGTCTCAAGCATGAAGATTTTGTATACGCTGCCTTAATATGGCAGGGATGTCTAAATTCGCTCGAATTATATACTCTCCTTGAACGTTTGTAGTCTACTGCACAAAAGCAACCAAATCCATATTGCCTCAAGGGGGCCTGAAACACTTTATGAACGTGGTCAGAAAAGGCTACCGCTTGGTAGACTTTTCGGTGAACATGTGCACATGAGCTTCGGTGAAAACATGAGCCGAACGCTAAACGCAGGACATGGCAAGAAACGTAGAGTTTAAAATGTAAGTTTGTAGGTTTAAAAGTCTACTAGAAATACCTTGCGCTTGAAACGAGATACCAGAGTAGAAGCAGACAGGAGGAGTGTGTGAAAACGAATGGTTTATTTGAATGCCTCAATTTCGCCTCCTCAGAAAAATGAGCGTGCTCACTAAATATTCATAATTACCGCGAGATGAAAGTACCTTGCTTCAGCAAAACCTCTATCTAACAAAGAAAGTTAAGCTTTTTTCTTGAAGAGAAACAGATGCTTCACGGACGCACTCATCTAGGTCACTACGAAACTTTCTGGAAAAAAAGGGGCATGGTATAGCGTAAAAATGTACAGATGAGGTGGCAGTAGTAAACCTCGAGGGACGGCACGGCTTAGTGCTCTTCCACAGTAGAGTACGTAGTACTCGGAATCGTTGCTCACATTTAAATGCGAGCATTTCTTAGCGAATTTCAGTGACTTTGAGGGTATCTATCTACCTAGACGCCTACGACTTTTAGCTCTCCTGGCCTCTCTGCTCACTATCTTTCATCTTCCCCATCCCTCTCCCATGCGCAGGGTAGCAAACCGGCTGCCTATAGGCTGGTTAACCTCCCTGCCGTTCTTTTCCCCCTATTTTCCTTCCTTCCTTCCTTCCTGGCCGTTTCAATAATGGTATTGATACCAAACTTAGTATGCAATAATATGACTGCATGAGGAACGTATTTGAATAGTCATAATATCAAAATCATGACAACAATGTCATGAATTATATTGCATGAGCTTGCTGCTCTCGCAATGGTGTCGTTCACATGACGGTTACAAACCTGGTATGGTATGGCATGATTGCATGGCGAACACAAGCGGCAGACCATATCTGATGACATGCGTGTCATGTAACATGACTACACACCACGCTCATGATGCGTTCGCGGTGATTTCGCTAGCTTCGCATATATAAAACTTGGTATAACGGTACGTTAATGGATGACGAACGTATGAGACTGATGCCCACATGATAATTATGAGATGCGTGTCATGTAAAAACATGACTACATGACATACTCATCATGCACCCGCGGCCTTTTTGCTAGCTTCACATATACCTAATTTGGTATCACAGTACGTGGATAGATGACGAAGGTATAAGACTGGTGCAAACATGACAAAAATAAAATGCGTGTCATGTAACATGACTACATGCTACGCTCATGATGTGCTCACAGCCGTTCCGCTAGCTTCACTTATGTCAAATATGGTATTACGTGACGTCAATAGATGAAGGTTTGTGACTGGTGCAAACATGATGATCATGAGATGCGTGTCATGTGAGAACGTGACTACATGCCACAGTCAAGGCGCCAATACATTTCGACGTGAAGCGGTGCGCGTGCTCACCGGCGTTTATTTCGTCGCGTCACGCCGGCGTTGTCACACCAGGTGCCGGTCCTGCCATATACTCGCAGGCACACGCCACACAGCGTTGCTTTGATATATTTGGGTGCACGTTAAAGAACCCCAGGTGGTCGAAATTTCCGGAGCCCTCCACTACGGCGTCTCTCATAATCATATGGTGGTTTTGGGACGTTAAACCACACATATCAATCAATCAATCAATCAAGCGTTGCTTTGATGCATGCGTGTTTCAGCGCGTCTGGCGTCCCTCTTCATGAAAAGAGGGAGAGGCAGTGTTGTGGGGGTGACGCATCGTCGCTAAGTGCAGCACATCGCATTTCGCGCCGGTTGCCGTCGGGCCACGCCGATGGATGCTGGTCGCGCCAGTAACGCTTGACGTCAGACTATAGAGTTCTAGCGTTTTTCTAACGTAGCGTCAGTGTCTCCAGCGTGCGCGCGCGTCAATGTTACGTTGGAGTATATTGGACCCATTATGGTGCACTCGAAGCCGTTGCGCTATAGCTCTACACATACCAAATTTTGTGTTACGTGACGACAATGGATGACGAAGCTATATGAGGGTGGGGTGCACGTTAAAGTAGCCCAGGTGGTCGAAATTTCCGGAGCCCTTCACTACGGCATGTCTTATAATCATTAGCGGTTTTCGGACGTGAAACGCCACATATCAATCAGGTATATGACTGGTGCAAACATGATAATCATGAGACGCGTGTCATGTAAGAACATGACAAGATACCACGCTCATAGCGTACTCGTGGCCACTTCGCTAGCTCCACATATACTAAATTTGGCATAACGTGACGTGAATATATGACGAAGGCAAAGGACACATCTAAACATGATAATCATGACACGGAAGTCGTGTACGGTATAATATACCTCCACCACGTAACGTTGTGGTGATTTGAAAGTGGCATATCAACCTTCCTCATTCGTGCTTTGCATATCATCGATTCTCACTGTACGTGGGATTTGCCACTTTTTCTAAACGCAGTAGAGAATAAATTTTTCTAAGCACAGAAAAGACATAG